ATCGTTTCAGGTCTCTCTACAAATCTTTTTAGATCTTTCATTTTCTTTCTAATTCTCTCTTTCGGATTTTTTTTAGTCTTGCGAATTATTCCGGATGCTTTTCGATGCTCAAGATTTTTTCAAATTTTTCAATTCTATTCAGATCGTTTCAGATTTTCTTAGATTTTTATAAATTCTTCGAAATTCCTGAAAATTCTCTCAAATTGTCACAAGTTCCTTCAGATTCCATGAGATTATTTTCAAATGTTCCAGTTTCTCTCAGATTCTCGGCGATTTTCCCAGATGCCTTCAGATTCTCCCAAATTCTCCCAGTCCTTCAGATTCCTTCAGATTTTTTCCGATTCTCTCAGATTCTCGAGGACTTTTCACCTTTCATCACATCGTTTCAGATTCCTGCAAACTCGTTCAGATTCTTCCAGATTTCGTCAAATTCCTCCAGATTCTTACATTTTCTTTCTGATTCTCTCTTTCAGTTTCTTTCGATTTTTTTTATTCTTCCGGATTATATTCAGGATGCTTTTCGATGCTCAAAATGTTTTCAAATTTTTCAATTCTATTCAGATCGTTTCAGATCCTACAAATCCTTTCAGATCCTTGCAGATTTTTCAAAATTCTTCCATATTCTTCTGGGTTTTTTTTTAGATTTTCTTAGATTTTTATATTTTCTCCAAAATTCCTGAAAATTCGCTCAGATTCTCACAAGTTCCTTCAGCTTCCATCAGATTCTTTTCAAATGTTCCAATTTCTCTCAGATTCTTGGAGATTTTCCCAGATTCCTTCAGATTCTCCCAAATTTTCGCAGTCCTTCAGATTCCTTCAGATTTTTTCCATTTCTCTCAGATTCTCAAGTATTTTTCACCTTTCATCACATCGTTTCAGATTCGTGCAAACTCGTTCAGATTTTTCCAGATTCCCTCAAATTCCTCCATTTTCTTTATGATTCTCTCTTTCAGTTTCTTTCGATTTTTTTTATTCTTGCGGATTATTCTGGATGTTTTTCGATGCTCAAGATGTTTTCAAATTTTTCAATTCTATTCAGATCGTTTCAGATCCTTTCAGATCCCTGCAGATTTTTCAAAATTCGTCCATATTCTTCCGTTTTTTTTATATTTTCTTAGATTTTTATAAATCCTTCTAAATTCCTGAAAATTCACTCAGATTCTCACAAGTTCGTTCAGATTCCATCAGATTCTCCCAGATTCTAACAATCCTTCAGATTCCTTCAAATTTATTCCGATTCTCTCAGATTCTCAAGGATTTTTCAAGTTTCATCACATATCGTTTCAGATTCATGCAAACTCGTTCAGATTCTTCCAGATTCCCTCAAATTCCTCCAGATTCTTTCAAATTATTTTATTTTCTTTACGACTCTTCCTTTTGAATCGAAATCTTCAAGATTCTGTAAATTCTTCCAGATTATTCCAGATTTTGCTAGATTCTTCGAAATTCGCTCAGATTCTTACAAACTCTCGAAGCCTCTCAAAATCTTCTAGATTCTTTCGGATTCTCTCACATTCCCTTAAATTCTCTCGGATTTATTAAAATTTTTCTAGATCATTTCAGATACCTGCAGACTGTTTCAGATTCTTCTACCAAGATGAGAATAACAATAATTTTTCACATTTATTTTTAAAATAAAAAAAAACTATTAGGCGGAAATGAATCGGTGAGAAATAATAAAAATAATAATGCCATTGCCTCACCTGCCTAATAGCACAAGCCGCCCCTGATCACACTGTATAATCAAATTATGTTACATTTTGCCGATAAACGTCTATCAGAGAATATTCAGAAGCGACAGCTTCGACATTAATTGTGTTAATATCGAGTATTTATTAATGAGTAATGATTGAAGCAAATTTTTGAGTTGGCAGTTCTGAATTAATGGCAGCAATGTTAGCATGTCAGTTCATAGTTGTCAATCTGACACGAGCACGCTTAAAAAATTTTAAATTGACATTTGATACGCCATCATAAAATTTTAAATAACAAAAAAAATCACAAACATCAACAGTCACTCGGTACGAAGGAATGGAATTTACTCCCACAAGTGCGACAATGAAACTCATACGTTTCAGAAAAGAAACCTCTAGAAATAAAATCTATGAAAAAAAAAAAGAAAACAGACTGGATGAAAAAGTTTCAAAAATCCGTTCACACATTGTTTTCACTTATGGTTCACTGCGTGTATAATTGGTTGCATATTCATATTTGATTTGCATGGGAATTACAATTGAAATGTGGTGATAACATGAATGAGAGAACTCTGTATAACGTTCTAATTTTTTGTTTTGTTGCTTTTGATATCAATAATATTTGTCTTTTTAACAAAGTTAAGTTCATTAAAAAATTCGTTTTGTCCGTTCTACTTTTTTTAAGTACCATAATTATGCGGACCCAGAGCTTATTGGATTTATAAATTTGGCCTTTTACTGTAAAGGTCGATTTATACACTTGTCGCTGACGTAGCTGTTGTACGATAAATACGCAGCGATTAGCAAAGGTATGCGTCCTTTATATCATACGTTTACGTTGACGTTGTCGTTGAAAATTGCAAATTTTGATAGAGATAATGAGGTCCACTAATATTAGGCCATTTAATCACCTGTTCACCGAAACCCTCATATTTTAAATAGCTGTCATCATTTTTTACATTGTAGCTTTCTGTCAATACTTATGCATTGTTAAAGATAGTTCTCGACGTTTAAATCAACAAGATTTTTTTTATTATAGTCTGCCTTTTTTTTTCTTAATATACTTAGCCATCTTTTCACAACAAGAAACTGGTACATTTTTTGCAAAGAAATATGGATTTTGCAATTATGGGGCGGAGCCTAATATTTCTTTATACAAATTTTCCATTTTAAAGATATTTTAAGTTTCATGTTGTGAAAAGATGTCTATGCATATTAGAACAAAAAGGAAAATATAAGCCCCGCCCACCCGCCCTATCTCAATTGTGATGATTTTTTTTATTGGTCGTAAGCCGAGGGGCGGAGCTTAATTGTAAAATCTTTATTTTTCTACGAGAAATTACCTCGTGAAATATGTTCCTAAGTAATCGTGCCCGCCCACCCGCCCTATCTCAGTTGTGATGATTTTTGTTTATTCGCCATGAACCAAAGAGAGCTTAACTGCAAAATACTCATTTCTTTACAAGAAATTAAAAACATATTTTTAAGTATCATGTTGTTCAAAGAATACTATGCATATTAAGAAAATAAGCCAACATATAAACCCCGCCCACCCACCCCATCTCGATTGTGATGATTTTTTTATTCTTAGAGACTTAAAACGCTTTTATAATGGTAAATTTTTGTAAGGAAATATGGATTTTGCAATTAGACTCCGCCCCTAGGTCTGCCCACGAATGAAAACTTCCGCTCCGCCCCCTTGGCTCACAACGAATTAAAAAAAGATCCTCACAATTGGGATAGGGCGGGGGGGCGGGGCTACATTTTGCCTTTTTTTCTTAAAATGTGTAGACTTATTTCAACAACAAGAAACTTTATTAATAATAATAAGCAGTATCAAATTACTATAAATTAAATGTTTCTGTCAGTTATGTCAATTGTGACAACAGCAGCAAATAAGGAGTTACAGGTCTACCAATTTCAAGCAAAATTCATTGATACCAACTTTTTTTTTGTTCTTTAAAAGTTTACAAAGTTTTAATTGACCCGTCCATAAAGACAAATCCTTCTTTTGAAAGTTATACCAATTTTAAGAAAAATAGTTACAATTTTAAAATTAGAAAAAGCAACAATACTTAACATATGTTAACCATTTATAACTGAAGCATATTTTGAGTTGGCAATTCTGAATTTTAGGTGACATCTCATAGTTGTCCGTTTTGACATGAGCCCGTTTAAAAAATTTGAAACTGACATCAGATATGCCATCATGAAGTTTTAAATATGTTACCAATCTAACAAAAAAATCACAGATATTAATAGTCACTCGGTACCAAAGAAAGGAATTTACTACCACAAGGGGGACAAGGGAATCCATAGGTTTTAGAAAGGAAACCTCTAGAAAGAAAATCTATGAAAAAAGCAAGAAATTAGATGAAAAAGTTTCAAAAATCCGTTCATAGATGTGGCTTAGTGCATGTATAATTGGTTGCATATTAATATTTGGTTTACATAGAGTATATAATATTTAACATAATTTTCTGAAACACATCACAATAATAATAATATACAATTCCTCGGTGATTCTTGCATTTTCAGTGTAAGTGAGTGTATAATTTTACTACGCTTGACAAATGTCAAATTTTGAATAGATTGTATTTTTTTTAATTAACTGAAAAATAGTTTAAACCTCAAATGGTCCATTAAAATTAAAAATTTCAATATAATACCTCTTCCTATAATACTTTAAAAGGCGTCCATTTTTAAATTCTATACAACATATTTCATTGTTTTTTGAAAGCAGTGTTGCAGCAGTTTTGGCATGTAATTTCATAGTTATCAATTTTGAAATGAGCGCGCTTGAAAAACATGATTAAAGAATAGCCAGTCAGGCATGCCATCATAAAATTTCAAATGTGTTGCCAATCTAACAAAGAAAAATCACAAACGTTAATAATTACTGTGAGTATTTTTAAGTAATATTATCTTTTATTACAGAATTTAAGATAATTAAAATGTCGATCTTTAGAGACTAGGAATATTTATAGGGTTACCAACATGTAAGAACAAGTGGCAGTAAAATGGTATCAGAAAATAATGGTACTGAATAGAGGATTTATGACAATATTATATAAAAAAACCACAAAGATTAAAAATTGGCAACAAATTTCTTCATTATTTACAACAAAAAACAAATCAGCACATAAAAATGTAATCTACGATAATTATCGCTCTTGTCTCCCAACAAAGTAAAAAAATCTCCTTTTAGCCAAAACAAGTAGCCGATAACACAACTTATCCGACCTTATCACGTTTAAAAATCTCTAAAAAACCTCCTCCCCCACCTCGCTGCTCCATTTAATTTAAATCTGGCGCCGCTTTCTAGTACCGTCACTTTCGGCCAGATGGTTCCAACATCAACTCTTTTTTCGCGTAGATGAAGTAGCGTAAGCGTGGCTAATCAAGGTACAAAGAGGTAAAATAATTATTTTTCTTAGTCCCCGACCATTATTCAGCCCCAATTTGCTCCGTCCAATAACCCCCAGACTCTAAATTTGCCGAAAAACCGAAAATTAACGGTGTTGTTGTGTCACAACTGTCATTAAACGTAATCTAAACATAGGGTTGGACTGCCACACTCGTCTCAAATTCGCTATTTTATATACGAAATGACCGTGTTTTAGGAAAATGAGCAGCTCAGAGGAGGTTTCATGGATTTCATGGTTTTGTGGACTTCGAGGAAATGAGTTTTTTTGTGAGGTAAATGTGGTGTGAGGTCTCGATATGTCATTGAGTTTCGATGCTTGCAGGTGGATGAGGACTATATACAGGATAAATTTAACTTGACGGGGTTAAATGAACAAGTGCCGCATTATAGACAAGCGTTGGATATGATACTAGATCTAGAACCAGGTACTTTTGTTGTGTAGGCCGTAGTTGCATGGTTAAGTGAGAGATCGAAAAGTTTGCAAAACGTGAGAAGTAAGGGTTACGCTTACGTTTTTTATTGCATTGCTGCGAAAACTAATATCGTACTTCAATTAGTCGCAATTTCGTACTCTAATGGATCAAAATTGAGGAAATCATACTCTTTAATTGTCGTGCTTTAAATTGGTAAAACCCATCCTTATAATATTAGCATGATTCATAAGATACTTTTATTGCGTATTGTTGATAACATAAAATCTGTAAATAATTATGATTCCGTTAATGTTTGAACTAACACGAAAAAAATTTTAAATAACAAAATTAATCAAGAACTTAATATTTCAAGAAAATTATCTGGAAGTGTTCATCGTTTCATTTTATTGTTGCTCTAGTTGTGAAAATCCTTAATTAATCATTTAAATGCACATCACTGGATGAAAGATGTACATTTAAAAAATTATTTTTAAGGTTTGTTTTTTCGTAAACGAAAATTTCTTTAAAACAAGGTGGCGATTTTTTGTGTAAAATGTTTTCAAATTTTGACGATAATTATTCTAAAACATGTTTTGTGTAATTTAATTTTCAAAGTACCGGCTGATGTCTCCACTTTTCGACGAATTTTAGGAAATTTAGGTATGTGGTTATTGAGATAGCGATAAGATAAATTGGTGGTTTTTACATTGATTTCTACGAAAAATATTGTATAAAAGAATACGCGGAATATAAAATTAATATGAAGTACCGCAATTTTTCAATAACCATTTATGTAATGTTTTTACGTAAGGAAGTAGGCTGTGTTTCGCATTTACAAGAGATTGACGTAACGATGTTTTGAGATGACGTCGACAGTTTTTGGAGGGGATGAGTGGATCAATTTTGGTGAAAATAGGTTCCCTTTTCACTTTGTATGTGTCGATTTTTATTAATTTTATATACCGTGTGTTCGAAAAAAAGCCCAAATGTCGGTACAACACTGTGTAAAATTTATAAAAATCTCGAAAAAATATGTAAGATGTCATTAAAAAAAGTTGAATGTCGTAGACAAAAACAAATGAATGTTAAAAATGTTGTACTCGAAAAAATAAGACGGCCACGGGCTCATGCTTTTTTTGGAACACACGGTGTATGTTACGAATATTGTGTAGATCATAAAACACCAACCAAAATTTGCCTGATCATCCCCACCAACAATTTGATGACGTCACTTTGAAATTTTGCATGGTGATTGCTTTTTAAATTTCATAAAGTAGCATGCTTCTGTACTTGTGGTTTATGAATCCGGCGTTATTTTGCTTTCCAGTTTTTGGCAAACAAGTACAAATTATTCAACAACCTTTTAATGTAAAGGTCGATTTATAAACCTGTCGCTGACGTTGACGTTGGGTTTTTCAACCAATCAAATTGCGGTAGTGTGCAGTGCTGCCAACTTGAAGGAATATCCCCTGAAGAAGGGGGGACATGTTTCTGGTTGACAGTACTAATTCCAGGAATATCAAATTTTGATAGAGATAATGAGGTCCACTAATATTAAGCCACAAGGCGGGTGGGCGGGGCTTATATTTTGCCTTTTTTTTTTTCTTAATATGTAAAGCCATCTTTTTACAACAAGAAACTTAAAATGTGGTTAAAATGGTACATATATACATATTAAGAAAAACTCCTAATTTTAGTTTTTGGAATTCTTCAATTTTTGATTTTTCAACTTTAAATTTTCCATTTTTCGATTTTTCTGGTTGACGATTTTTCGATTTCTAGATTTTCCGGTTTTTCGATATTTCAGTTCTGGAATTTTTCGTTTCGATTTTTTTATATTTAAAATTCGATTTTTATTGGGTATATTTATCGATTTTTCTATTTTTCCATTTTTTAAATATTAGATTTTTCAATATTTTGGGGTTTTGATTTCTAGAAGTTTCAGTTTTTAAAATGTTTTGTTTTACGATTTTTAAATTTTTGATTTTCCCATTTTCCGATAATTCAACTTTTAAAATTTTCGGTTCTTTTATTTTTTTATTTGACGATTTTTGGACTTTTCGATTTCTAGATTTTCCACTTTTTCGGTATTTCAGTTCTGGATTATTCAATATTTCGATTCTTCAGTTTTTCGTTTCGATTTTTTAAATTTAAAATTTTTCAATTTTTTGCTGTTTCAATTTATCGATTTTTCAATTTTTTATTATTTCATTTTTCCATTCCTCGATTTTTTTACTTTTAGATTTTTTGATTTTTCCGATTTCTCGGTGTTTCCATTTTTCGACTTGACGATTTTGCGATTTTTCAATTTTTGGCATTTCTAAATTTTCGAAGTTTCGATTTCTCAATTCATAGATTTTTCGATTTCTCTTTTTTGCAGTTTTTACAATTTTTCGGTTTTTCAATTTTCCTATTTGACGATTTTTCGACTTTTCGATTTCAAGATTTTTCAATTTTTCGGTGTTTTAAATTTTAGCTTTTTCGATTTCTCGATTTTTCTTTTTTCTAATTCTTCGAATTTTTAAATTTTAGATTTTTTAATATTTTGGTGTTTTGATTTCTCGAAGTTTCAGTTTTTAAAATTTTTTGTTTTACGATTTTTTAATTTTTAAATTTATGGCATTCATAAAATTTCGAGTTTTCGATATCTGAATTAACCGATTTTTCAATTTTTGATTTTCCCATTTCTCGATTCTTCAACTTTTAAAATTTTCGGTTCTTTTGTTTTTTTATTTGACGATTTTTCGACTTTTCGATTTCTAGATTTTCCACTTTTTCGATTTTTCAGATCTAGATTATTCAATATTTCGATTCTTCAGATTTCTTAATTTTTTGACTTTTAGATTTTTCAATTTTTCAGTTTTTGGCATTCTAAATTTTCGAAGTTTCGATTTCTCAATTCATAGATTTTTCGATTTCTCTTTTTTGCAGTTTTTACAATTTTTCGATTTTTTAGCTTGAAATTTTCGGTTTTTCAATTTTTCTATTTGACGATTTTTCGACTTTTCGATTTCAAGATTTTTCAGTTTTTCGGTGTTTTCAATTTCAGCTTTTTCGATTTCTCGATTTTTCTTTTTTCTAATTCTTCGAATTTTTAAATTTTAGCTTTTTCAATATTTTGGTATTTTCATTTCTCAAAGTTTCAGTTTTTAAAATTTTTTGTTTTACGATTTTTCTATTTTTAAATTATGGCATTCGTAAATTTTTGATTTTCGCATTTCTCGATTCTTCAACTTTTAAAATTTTCGGTTTTTTGATTTTTCTATTTGACGATTTTTCAATTTCTAGATTTTCCATTTTACGATATTTCAGTTCTGAGGGATTATTCAATATTTCGATTCTTCAATTTTTCGTTTCAATTTTTTAAATTTAAAATTTCTCAATTTTTTGCTGTTTCAATTCCCTGATTTTTCAATTTTTTAATATTTTATTTTTCGTTTTTTTAAATATTAGATCTTTTAGATTTCTCGATTTTTCTATTCAATTTTTGACGTTCCCAAATACTCAATTTTACGATTTCTTGATTTTTTGATTTTTCCCATTTCTCGAATTTTCGATTTTTCAGATTTTTGATTTTTCAGTTTTTGGCATTTCTAAATTTTCGAAGTTTTGATTTCTCAATTCATAGATTTTTTGATTTCTCTATTTTTTAGCTTTTACAATTCTTCAATTCTTCAATTTTTCGATTTTTTTTAGCTTAAAATTTTCGATTTTTCTATTTGACGATTTTTCGACTTCGATTTCAAGGTTTTCCAATTTTTCGATATTTTAGTTCTGAGTTTTTCAATATTTCGATTCTTCAATGTTTCGCTTCGATTTTTTAAATTTAAAATTTCTCAATATTTTGCTGTTTCAATTCCTCGATTTTTCAATTTTTTAATATTTTATTTTTCGTTTTTTTAAATTTTAGATCTTTCGATTCCTCAATTTTTTTCTATTAAATTTTTGGCGTTTCCCAAATTTTCAATTTTACAATTTCTTGATTCTATGACTTTGGATTTTTTGATTTTTCCTTTTTTCGAATTTTCGATTTTTCAATTCATAGATTTTTCGATTTCTCTTTTTTTCAGTTTTTGCAATTCTTCAATTTTTCGATTTTTTAAGCTTAAAATTTTCGGTTTTTAGATTTTTCTATTTGACAATTTTTCGACTTCGATTTCAAGATTTTCCAATTTTTCGATATTTTAGTTCTGGGTTTTTTCAATATTTCGATTCTTCAATTTTTCGATTCGATTTTTTAATATTTTATTTTTCGTTTTTTTAAATTTTAGATCTTTCGATTCCTCGATTTTTTGACTTTGGATTTTTTATTTTTCCCATTTCTCGAATTTTCGATTTTTCAGATTTTTGATTTTTCAATTTTTGGCATTTCTAAATTTTCGAAGTTTCGATTTTTCTGTTTGACAATTTTTCGACTTCGATTTCAAGATTTTCCAATTTTTCGATATTTTAATTCTGGGTTTTTTCAATATTTCGATTCTTCAATTTTTCGTTTCGATTTTTTAAATTTACAATTTCTCAATTTTTTGCTGTTTCAATTCCGCGATTTTTCAATTTTTTATTTTATTTTTCGTTTTTTTAAAATTTAGATCTTTCGATTCCTCGATTTTTCTATTCAATTTTTGGCGTTTCCCAAATTTTCAATTTTACGATTTCTTGATTTTTTTATTTTTCCCATTTCTCGAATTTTCAATTTTTCGATTGTTCAGATTTTTGATTTTTCAATTTTTGGCATTTCTAAATTTTCGAAGTTTCGATTTCTCAATTCATAGATTTTTCGATTTCTCTTTTTTTTCAGTTTTTAAAATTCGTCAATTTTTCGATTTTTTAGCTTAAAATTTTCGGTTTTTCGATTTTTCTATTTTTCGACTTTTTTTTTTTCTTATGCCAGCTTGCACAATCGAAAATGCCGTATTTTTTAATTAAGCTCCGCCCCTCGGCTTACGACGAATAAAAAAAATCATCAGAATTGAGATAGGGTGGGTGGGCGGGGCTTATATTTTGCCTTTTTTTTCTAAATATACATATCCATCTTTTCACAACAAAAAATTTAGAACATGGTGAAAATGATACACTTTCGCAAGAAAATATGGATTTTGCAATTATGGGGCGGAGCCTAATTGCAAAATCGATATTTCCTTAAACAAATTTTCCATTCCATGTTTTAAGTTTCATGTTATGAAAAGAAGTCGACACATATTAAAACAAAAATGCGAAATTTAAACCCGCCCACCCGCCCTGTCGCAACTGTGATGATTTTTTTTATTGGTCGTGAACCAAGGGGGCGTAGGCTTAACTGCAAAATACTTATTTCTTTACAAGAAATTAAAAACATGTTTTTGAGTATCGTGTTGTTCAAAGAATACTAGGTATATTGAGAAAAAAATCCAAAATATAAACCTCGCCCACCCACCCCATCTCAATGGTGACGATTTTTTAATTCTTGTAAACTTAACTGGATTTTGGAATTAAGCTCCGCCCCTAAGTCTGCCAACGAATGAAAACTTCATTACTCTTTAGATCAGGGTAGGTATGGGTGGGGCTTATCTAAATATATATAGTATTCTTTGAACACGATACTCAAAAACATGTTTTTAATTTCTCGTAGAGAAATAAGGATTTTGCAGTTAAGCTCCGTCCCCTTGGCTCACGACGAATTAAAAAAATCATCACAAATGAGATAGGGTGGGTGGGCGGGGCTACATTTTGCCTTTTTTTTTCTTAATATGTGTAGACTTATTTCGACAGCAAGGAACTTAGAACATGTCTAAACTTCAACGTCAACAGCAAGTTTATAATTTCGAGGTCACGATTCTAGGGTTCGATCCCTAGTCATGACCGTAACTGTCAAACTGAACAAGGAATTCATTGGTGTTGCCAACATAATTTTTTAACATTAAATTTCAAAGGTTGCTAAACGACTTTTTTTAACAATACATCTTCAATATACCGGGTGACCATATATTAATTATTGGCAGCAATATTAGCATGTCAGTTCATAGTTGTCTATTTTGACAATGAGAAGACGACAGCTACTGAATTGGCGCCCAAATTTCAATTTTACTTCAGATTTTAAATATATCGCCAACTTGACAAAAAAAAAACACAAAATTAACAGTCACTTGATGTTTTAAATAACGGGTGTTCAGTTGAAAAAGTCATCAAGTTGGCGTTGTTTTTTTTTTTACACAAAATTGTAATGTAAATAAAACATTTTTATTAAGTTGTTAATTTAAGATTTTCGTTACAATTATTTCTATAACAATATTTTTTTAAAGAATTTATATATTTAAAACACAAAAATACATTTTAATAAATTTTCACTAGTAAATACAAAAAATAATGTGCATATATACGGTGACTTTTAATGATGAAGCAAATTTTTGTGTTGGCAATTCTAAAATATATATTATATTGATATTTTCATACCAAAATTATAAATTGAAAGAAAATGACTTAGAATTTTACAAATGACAACGTTATTGAGTTCAAGAGAGAATGTATTATAAACAGGGTGTACCAAGAAAAACTCCCGAAAAGATTTAGAAGTGCAGTTTTGAAAATACAAATTGACTTGACTTGAATTTTTTTTTCGTATTATTTTTAAAATCTTTTTGCCGCTCATTTCAGATGATGAACTTGACGACAACCCGAACCAATCCGATCTTATCGAGCAAGCCGCCGAGATGCTGTACGGTCTGATCCACGCCCGCTATATCCTGACCAATCGAGGCATAGCTCAAATGATAGAAAAATACCAATCGGGAGATTTCGGCTACTGCCCGCGCGTCTACTGCGAATCTCAGGCGATGTTACCTCTAGGATTATCCGACGTACCAGGGGAGGCCATGGTCAAGTCGTACTGCCCCAAATGCATGGACGTATACACACCAAAATCCTCAAGACACCACCACACGGACGGGGCTTACTTCGGGACCGGCTTCCCCCACATGCTGTTCATGGTACACCCGGAGTACAGGCCGAAGCGCCCCACGAATCAGTTCGTTCCTAGGTGAGTGTTCCTCTCGACCGCAGCACTTCCCGCCCTAACCCGACTTTTCCTTTCAAGGTTATTTGGTTTTAAAATTCATCCCTTGGCGTATCAGTTACAACAGCAAGCCGCATCGACATTCAAGGCTCCGCTGAGAAGTCTGAATTTTAATAATGGTAAACGTTAATTTCGTATGAGGTGTATACAGCAATTTTTAATTTATTTCTACCCAAAATTGTGTATTCATTATGTATGAAATTAAAGTTACGTTTGATGTTAGGCCCTTTTCGTTCACTCTGTATAATTTGAGGCGAGAATTACAAGGCGGGAGCGATAGGCGTGAGAACAGGTTTGTAAAAATGGATTTTTTTTATTGTAATAGTTAGAATTTTGCTGGTTCTGTGTACATTTATAAGTTAACTAGCGGTTCAAGGTTTCGGTATTTGTAAATACGATTGCGTGTTACCAGTTAATGTACAAAAATACTTGATGCTGGTTGTGTTGTCAAATGTAGAGTTTGACGTGACAGTGTATTTATTCCGAGATGGGAAAATCCGTTGTAGGTAGCGTTTTATTTTGGAACAGGCTGGATTTTCCCATCTTTTTGCGTCGCGAATGTATCGTAGGTTAGAGGGGGTTAATTTGTATTGTCTTGAACGTAGTTAAGTTATACACGGTACGACAGGCGAGTCATATTACAAAGTTAAACGTCTAATATTTTGTTCTTTAATTTTATGTAAATTAATTATTAATAAAACGATAGAAATTTTTCTGCTTAGTTATTTGAACTGACGTTGCTTCCCTGAAAAGTGGAAAATATCATATCAATACAGTATTTAAGAGCGCTATTTAGTAGGCAAGGTTTTTTTAATGGTGAAGATTTTTCGCGCCATTTTTTTAAATCTCAACCAAACAAAATTGTGTCTATCGATGTCGATTCTAATTGGTTAAAATTTGAAAAGTGGCGGGAAAACTAGTTACGTCAGCGTTATTGTTATCCTACTTACATGCAAGAGGATTCTTATTTTTTTATATAAAACTATATTCAGACATTTAACGGCTAATAAAATTCTGATTACTGCAATTAAAATTGCTTTTTTCAACGACAACCTGGTTTTTTGAGGAAAAAAACAGTCACTGAACGCGTTGGTGAGTTGATTTTGCCTCAGTCTCTCGCTTTTAAGTTTTTTAGCTGTTGTTTATAAAATAATGTATTATACGAGTAAAATAAAGCTACATGCACTACTTTCTCTACAGTTGTACTTTATTAAAAATTAAAAATGTATTATGGACTTATTTTTTACAGAGGTGCCCAAGTTATGATGTCACGATTTGATGATTTTTAGTTTGACTTTTCCTGTTCTCGCTATTATCTATCAAAAATCAAATTTTTAAGAGTATATTTTTTACAATGTAAGTACATTATGAAGAGAAAATAAGAGAGATTGATCAACTTTATTTATATGATGTAAGTGTGGTTAGGTCCAGATCAAAAAACTACAAACGGGCCCCAAACTGTTGTCCTGTATTTGAAGAAGTAAGAAAGAATCACTGAAACCACTGGTGTTTTATTTTGGAAAAAACTTAAAAATCTTAGGGACATCAAGGTTTTTTCAAGAAGTTTATAAGAATCTTGGGGATCTCCTCTGCTGTTTTATTTTTGAAGAATCCTTTCCTCTGGCGTTTTATTTTCGAAAAATCTGGGGCACCTCTGATGTTATATTTTTAAAGACGTTTAAAGAAGCTCGAGCTTCTCTTTTCTGGTGCTTTATTGTTGAAGAAGTTTAAAGAATCACGGGGATCTCTGGTGTTTTATTATTGAAGAAGTTTAAAGATTTCAGCACCTCTGGTCTTTTATTTTCGAAGAAGTTTAAAGAATCTATGAGTCTTTCCTCTAGTGCTTTATTTTTAAAGAAATTTAAAAAATCTTGGGGACCTCTGGTATTTCTGAAGATTGAATGTTTCAAAGGACGATTCTTGAAGAACCATTGGAGTTATCGAAGAAATGAAAGGGGATATGACTTCTGCGGCCTGAAATCTACAAGAAAATGTATTTAGTGAAATTTCGAATATTTTGTTGAAAATTGGTCGAAAATTGGGCGGATTTTTCAAATTTTTATATATTTCAAAGGACGATTCTGGAAAAACCATTGGAGTTATCGAAGAAATGAAAACGGATATGACTTCTGCGGCCCGAAATCTACAAGAAAATCTATTTAGTGAAATTTCGAATATTTTGTTGAAAATTGGGGTATTTTGCATATTTTTGAAAGTTTCAAAGGACGATTCTGGAAGAACCATTGGAGTTATCGAAGAAATGAAAGCGGATATGACTTCTGCGGCCCGAAATCTACAAGAAAATGTATTTAGTGAAATTTCGAAAATTTGGTTGAAAATTGGCGAAAATTGGGGTATTTTGCATATTTTTGAAAGTTTCAAAGGACGATTCTGTAAGAACCATTGGAGTTATCGAAGAAATGAAAGCGGATATGACTTCTGCAGCCCGAAATCTACAAGAAAATGTATTTAGTGAAATTTCGAAAATTTTGTTGAAAATTGGTCGAAAATTGTGGTATTTTGCATATTTTTGAATGTTTCAAAGGACGATTCAGGAAGAACCATTGGAGTTATCGAAGAAATAAAAAGCGGATATGACTTCTGCGGCCCGAAATCTACAAGAAAATCTATTTAGTGAAATTTCGAATATTTTGTTGAAAATTGGTTGAAAATTGGGGTATTTTGCATATTTTTGAAAGTTTCAAAAGACGATTCTGGAAGAACCATTGGAGTTATCGAAGAAATGAAAGCGGATATGACTCCTGCGACCCGAAATCTACAAGAAAATGTATTTAGTGAAATTTCGAAAATTTTGTTGAAAATTGGTCGAAAATTGAGGTACGTTGCATATTTTTGAATGTTTCAAATTCAGGAAGAACCTTGGACTTATCGAAGAAATTAAAGCGGATATGATATTAAAGAATCTATGGCACCTATGGTGCTTTATTTTTGAAGAAGTTTAAAGAATCTCGGGCACCTCTAGTGTTTTATTTTTGAAGAAGTTAAAGATTTCGGAGACCTCTAGTGTTTTATTTTCGAAGAAGTTTAAAGATTTCGGGGATTCTTTTGTTTTATTTTCGAAGAAGTTTAAAGAATTACGGGGACCTCTAGTGTTTTATTTTTGAAGAAGTTTAAAGATTTCGGAGACCTCTGGTGCTTTATTTTCGAATAAGTTTAAAGAATCAATGGAACCTCTCCTCTAGTGCTTTATTTTAAAAGAAATTTAAGGAATCTTGTGCACCTCTTGGTATTTTACTTTTGAAAAAGTTTTAAGAATCTCGGGCACCTCTCCTGGTGTTTTATGTTTTTGAAGAAGTTTAAAGAACCTTGAGCATCTCTCTTCTGGTGTTTTATTTTTGAAGATGTTTAATGATTTCGGGGACCTCTGGTGTTTTATTTTTTTAAGAAGTTTGAACAAATCAAATAAACCTCCAGTGTTTTATTTTAGATTAAGTTTAAAGAATCTGGGAGATCGCTGGTGTTTTATTCTTCAACTTTAAAGAATCTCTTGGACTTCTTGTTCTTTTATTTTCGAAGAAGTTCAAAGATTTCGGGGACCCTTGATATTTTACTTTCGAAGAAGTGCAAAGGATCTCGGGGACCTTTCCTCTAGTGCTTTATTTTTGAAGAAGTTTAAAGAATCACGAAGACCTCTAGTGTTTTAGTGTTTTATTTTTGAAGAAGTTTAAAGATTTCGGGGACGTCTGGTGCTTTATTTTCGAATAAGTTTAAAGAATCTATGGAACCTCTCCTTTAGTGCTTTATTTTAAAAGAAATTTATGGAATCTTAAGCACCTCTTGGTGTTTTATTTTTGAAAATGTTTTAACAATATCAGGGACCTCTCCTCTGGTGTTTCATATTTTTGGAAAAGTTTAAAGAATCTCGGGGACTCTCGTCTAGTGCTTTATTTTTGAAGAAGTTTAAAGAATCTCAGGAACCTCTTGTGTTTTATTTTTGAAGAAGTTTAAAGATGTCGGGGACCTCTAGTGTTTTATTTTCGAAGAAGTTTGAAGAATCTCGGGAACCCCCCCTCTAGTATTTTATTTTTAAAGAAATTTAAAGAATCTTCGGCAATTCTTGGTGCTTTATTTTTGAAAAAGTTTAAAGAATCTCAGGGACCTCTCCTCTGGTGTTTTATTTTTTTGAAGAAGTTTAAGGAATCTTGAGCATCTCTCTTCTGGTGTTTTATTTTTGAAGAAGTTTAAAGAATCATGAGGACCTCCGGTATTTCTGAAGAAGTATAAAGAATTTCGCGCACTTCTAGTGTTTTATATTTTTGAAAAAATTTAAATAATCTCGGGGACTCTCGTCTAGCGCTTTATTTTTGAAGAAGCTTAAAGAATCACAGGCACCTCTAGTGTTTTATTTTTGAAGAAGTTTAAAGAATCTTCAGCAACTCTTGGTGTTTTATTTTTGAAATAGTTTAAAGAGTCTCAGGGACCTCTCCTCTGGTGTTTTATTTTTTTGAAGAAGTTTAAAGAATCTCTAGCATCTCTCTTCTGGTGCTTCTTTTTTAAGAAATTTTAAGAATCTCAGGGACGTCTCCTCTGGTGTTTTATTTTTTTGAAGAAGTTTAAGGAATCTTGAGCATCTCTCTTCTGGTGTTTTAGTTTTTAAGAAGTTTAAAGAATCATGAGGACATCCGGTATTTCTGAAGAAATATAAAGAATTTCACGCACCTCTGGTGTTTTATATTTTTGAAAAAGTTTAAAGAATCTCGGGGACTCTCGTCTAGTGCTTTATTTTTGAAGAAGTTTAAAGAATCACAGGGACCTCTAGTGCTTTATTTTTGAAGATGTTTAAAGATGTCGGGGACCTCTAGTGTTTTATTTTCGAAGAAGTTTAAAGAATCTCCGGAACCCCCTCTCTAGTATTTTATTTTTAAAGAAATTTAAAGAATCTTCGGCAACTCTTGGTGTTTTATTTTTGAAATAGTTTAAAGAGTCTCAGGGACCTCTCCTCTGGTGTTTTATTTTTTTGAAGAAGTTTGAAGAATCTCTAGCATCTCTCTTCTGGTGCTTCATTTTTGAAAAAGTTTTAAGAATCTCAGGGAGCTATCCTCTGCTGTGCTGTTTTATTTTTTTGAAGAAGTTTAAGGAATCTTGAGCATCTCTCTTCTGATGTTTTATTTTTGAAGAAGTTTAAAGAATCATGAGGACCTCCGGTATTTCTGAAGAAATATAAAGAATTTCACGCACCTCTGGTGTTTTATATTTTTGAAAAAGTTTAGAGCATCTCTCTTCTGGTGTTTTATTTTTGAAGAGGTTTAAAGAATCATGAGGACCTCCGGTATTTCTGAAGAAGTATAAAGAATCTCGGGGACTCTCGTCTAGTGCTTTATTTTTGAAGAAGTTTAAACAATCACAGGGACCCCTAGTGTTTTATTTTTGAAGAAGTTTAAAGATGTCGGGGACCTCTGGTGTTTTATTTTCGAAGAAATTTAAAGAATCTCGCGAACCTCTCCTCTAGTGTTTTATTTTTAAAGAAATTTAAAGAATCTTCGGCAACTCTTGGTGTTTTATTTTTGAAATAGTTTAAAGAGTCTCAAGGACCTCGCCTCTAGTGTTTTATTTTTTTGAAGAAGTTTAAAGAATCTCTAGCATCTCTTTTCTGGTGTTTTATTTTTGAAGAAGTTTAAAGAATCATGAGGACCTCCGGTATTTCTGAAGAAGTATAAAGAATTTCGCGCAGTTCTAGTGTTTTATATTTTTGAAAAAGTTTAAAAAATCTCGGGGACTCTCGCCTAGTGCTTTATTTTTGAAGAAGTTTAAAGAATCTCGGGCACCTCTATTGCTTAATTTTTGAAGAAGTTTACCTAAGGATCACAGCCACCCCTAGTGTTTTATTTTTGAAGAAGTTTAAAGAATCTCGCGAACCTCTCCTCTAGTGTTTTATTTTTAAAGAAATTTAAAGAATCTTCGGCAACTCTTGGTGTTTTATTTTTGAAATAGTTTAAAGAGTCTCAGGGACCTCTCCTCTGGTGTTTTATTTTTTTGAAGAAGTTTAAAGAATCTCTAGCATCTCTCTTCTGGTGCTTTATTTTTGAAAATGTTTAAAGAATTTCAGGGACCTCTCCTCTGGTGTTTTATTTTTGAAGAACTTTAAAAAATCTCGAGGACCTCTCCTTGAAAAATTTTAAAGAATCTCGGGGGAAGTCTGAGCAAAAAAATACACTAATTGTTTCATCTCAATAGATTCACAATATAGAAAACAAATATAGAATCAAGAAAGTAAATTCTATTAACAGAACTGATTGCAATAGTTCCAGGTCCAACATAAATGAAAAACAAGTTTGGTGTTTTAAATGTAATTAAAGTAAAGGAAAAAAACTTTTTTAAATCAAACAGCTTTTTAAATAACATTTGCCGTATACAAGACACGTTAATTAATTTAATTAATCTTAATTTTTGTGAAAACTTTCAGACCTCTCAAATTCTTCCTAATAAATCTACTTATATGTTTGTGGGTTAAGTACCTACCTTAAGTGACCGGACCTAACTTGAAAAATTTTGCAATATTTCCACATTCTACACTCATTTGCTGCTGCTTTATTGCTCTGCAAAAACTTTCAGAATGACTTTTTGAGTAACTGAACTTCCTTTTACAGTACTTGTTTTGTCAGTTTTTACTTAAATCGCGCAGTGTTGCCACACACATAAATAAAACACATTATTGTTTTTATTACTTCATAGTACTTTATTAGCCACATTGACGCCCCTATAACTTAAATCAAGAAAGCATACCAACTCAAGTAATGTATATTCTTATTAAACTTTTTCCAATTTTCCAATTTCGAGTGCTGCCCTCTGCAGATTGCCACCACTATACAATCGTAGAAAAAATTTTAGAAAACAAACTCAGACGAACATGCAAACATTTTTATTGTTTCTTTGTGTGTGTAGTGCTTTAATGTTTCCTTGCTAACTTGCAAACCTAAGATAAAAAATGAGTGGTACTCCAATCCTTTCCTCATCCCCAGAAAGTGAAATTTCGTGGATTGAAGCTTTTTGCGCACAAGAGCACCATACATTTTTTTGCGAAGTAAAGTTAACATCCAGTTGTGCACCACAAAGACCCTAATTTTCAGGTAAGCAAGGCCTTCATGTTGGACCCTTTGAATTTAGCAGGATTGCCCAGATACGTGCGTCATTTCAAAGAGGCTTTGAACGTCATAGAAGACAATACATTACTAATAAAAATCGGTTGGTTTGTCGTATATGAATTTACTAGTTTAATTCCACTATTATGTACGCAGACGATCCCAACGAGCGAGTACAAGCCATAGCAAAGATAGGCAAGTATGCTAAAACCCTGTATGGGTTAATCCACGCCCGCTATATTCTAACAGAGCCAGGAATAGACCAAATGTGTGAAAAATTCCGCAGAGGAGATTTCGGTTATTGTCCCCGTGTTTATTGTAAATTTCAGAAAGTGCTCCCCATAGGTAAGAAACAAAATACCCAGGAAAGTCTGTAATCTGTAGTCTACTTGGTAGGATTGTCAGATGATCCTGGAAAAGACAGCGTGAAACTCTACTGCCCCAAATGTATGGAAGTGTTCAACATTGAACGTTACAAACACATAGATGGGGCTTTCTTCGGTACCAGATTCCCCCACGTCTTCTTCATGGTCCTCCCAGACCAAAGACCCCCACCTCCAAAAAAAAAGTACATACCTAGTATGCATCCTTGCGCTTATGAACTGCAAACGAATGGAGCGACCAATCCCAGTTGACGAAATTATCTTTATAATGAAAACAAACTTGTACAAATTCTTTTAATAATTTTTAGATTACACCACTAAATTCAACTAAACTCTTTTTTTTTTAAATAAATGGTATTACATCAACGTTTAAATATCCCGTGGCCAGGGCTCAACAAAACGAGTATGTTTATAAATATACTATACAACAGAAATTAAACTATATGTCATTTTTTTGTGATTGCTGCTGCTCTAGCAGCTGGGCCAAAGACTGGGGGCCTTGGCCGGTAAATAAGGAGTGTTGTGGTAGATGTGTGGGTTGGTTTTCCTGTGGTTTTGTGTTTCTTAGCTGTCCAACCAAGTTCGGTGTCCAGGTGTTGGTGTTGAAGAGTGAATAGCCAGGTGAAGTTGTTGGGTTTTGCATGAAGGTGTTATCGGTGGCCTAAAAATGAGCAGTATTATTTTTCGTACATAAAACTGAGTTTCTTTGATGTTATAAATTGATTTAATAGTAGTAAGAAATCTTAGACCAATCTGTAGACTTATTATTTTGAAAAACAAGAGATAATTTAAATTGGATTTTTTTTAAATTCTGGGGATTTTGTCGTGGTTGGTATGACAAATGTCGGATTGTGGCATTTGAAATTTAAATTGAGACAATCAAGTATTAACAATGTGTGAAATTAAATTGCGCCCCCAGAAATACGGGAAATTGCGTAAAGTAGCATCCAGAATGTTTATTTATTATCATAAATCTCGTTCTGGTGTGCGAAAAATATGTAGTTCTTTTGACGTTATTTTTGTTGTTTGTCAGTGACATTTGTAATGATAACCAAACGTGAGAAGTTAATTAAATCAAGTGCGAAAAACACCCATAAATCGGGGAAAGACGAAACCAAACACCGTTAATACGAGTGTAAAGCATAGGAAAAACCGCATGAAGAATAGTACGGCCACCATAGTTTCCTTCCCCTAAATTCTCAAGTGGACCTGTCGCTTTTACGTCTATTGCGACGTTTTATTGGCGCATACTTCTCAAACTATTTCCACTGTGACATGTGTTTTCAATTTAGTTCAGTGTTTTAGTTGGCACTTTTACCAACAGATGGAATTTTAAAAATCATATATATAAACAACGTAAAAGTTAATTATGTATCAAGGGTACTATGAAGTGGTATAAATTCCAAATAAAACCCGTGGTACATACAAAATTTAATGTCTTACCGTTTAGTTTTTGATATTTCCAAAAAAAAAGGCATCTTTGCACATTCTTTTATTGGTTGCATTTACTTCTGAAGATTTAAACAACTATAACTATAGAAAAGAAATTAATGTAAGTACTGATAAGCTACGAATGTCAAACCACAGTATTTTATCCACTTTAAACAGGATTGTTTGTTTGGATTTTTTTTTATTTTTTGGAATTTTGGATTTTTTTCATTTTTTTAATTTTTGGTATATATTCAATTTTTTGGATTCTTTGAATTCAAGAGTTTCTTAGGTTTTTGGATTTATCCAATATTTTTCGATTTTTTGGATGTATTCTATTTTATATTTTTTTTAATTTTTGGAATATTTCCATTTTTTTTTTGATTTCTTAAATCATATAATTTTCTTATTTTTTAGATATTTTTGATTTTTCGGATCTTTTTGGATTTTCTGGACTGTGCATTTTTTGGATTTTTCGGATTTTTTGTATTTGTTTGGATTTCATTGACTTGCTGGATTTTTGGATTTTCTGGTTTGGATATTTTTAAATTTTTTGAACTTTTTGGATTTTCTGGATTGTTTGATGTTTTGATTTTTTTGGGTATTCCGGATTTCTATGATTTTTTGGATTTTTATAGTTTGTTTGGATTTTTTGGTTTTTCTGGATTATTTGGATTTTTCAATTTTTTTGGATTTTCTGTATATTATTTTTGGATTTTTTGGACTTTTTGGATTTTTTGGATTTTTCAGCTTTTTGGTTTTACTAGACATTTTGATTTCCACATTTTCTGGAATGTTTGGAATTTTTGAAATTGTGTGGATTTTCTGTTTTTTTTTTTTTTATTTTCTTGCAATGGATTTTTTCGGATTTTCTGAATTTTCAGATTTAATGGATCTTTGAACTTTGTTTTTAAATTTTTTGGATTCTCCGGATTTCTGATCTTTTTTTGGATTTTCTGGTTCATTGGGAATTTTTGGATTTTATGTTTTTTGAACTTTGTTTTTTTCTGGATCGTTTACATTTTTTGGATTTTTCGGATTATTTCGATTTTTTTGGAGTTTTCGGTTTGTTTGGATCTTTTTTGGATATTTTGGAATTTGTGAATTTTCTGGATTTCTGTATTTATTTACTGGACTTTTCGTATTTCAGGATTTTTTTTTTAATATTTGAAATTTTTTGGATTTTCTGGGTTTTCTAATTTTCTTTTTGGATTTTCTGGATTTCTTAAATTTTTTGGATTCCTTGTACTTGCTGGATTTTTGGATTTTCTGGTTTGGATATTTTGAACTTTTTGGATTTTCCGGATTTTATGGATCGTTGAGATTTTTCCATTTTATTTTCCGGATTTTTTTGATTTTTTGGATTTCTGAATTGTTTAGATGTTTTGGTTTTTCTGGATTGTTCGGATTATTTGAAATTTTTTGGATTTTCTGTATTTTACTTTTGGATTTCTTGGACTTTTTGGATTTTTTGGTTTTTTTGGATTTTTTGATTTCCGCATTTTCTGGAATGTTTGGAATTTTTGAAATTGTTTTTTCTGGATTTTTTGATTTTCTGGATAAGGATTTTTTGGGATTTTCTGGATTGTTTAGGTTTAATGAATTTTTTGGACTTTCTGTATTTTTTAAATTGTTTGGATTTTCTGGATTCCTGATTTTTTTGGAGTTTATCCTTTTTTTTATTTTGTTTGTTTCTGGATTGTTCAGATTTTTCCACGATTTTTCGGATTATTTGGATTTTTTTGGAGTTTCTGAATTTTTTGGACTTTTTGAATTTTCTGTATTTACTGAACTTTTTGTATTTCCGGATTTTTTTAATGTTTGGATTTTTTGTAATTGTTTGGATTTTCTGGATTTCCTGGATTTTTTGGTTTTTCTGAATTGTTTGGATTTGCTGTATTTTATTTTTGGATATCTTGGACTTTTTGGATTTTCTGGGTTTTTGGTTTTCTTGGACTTTTAGATTTCCGCATTTTCTAGAATGTTTGGAATTTTTTTAATTGTTTTAATTCTCTGGATTTTTTGATTTTTTTGATTTTCTGGGATTTTCTGGATTGTTTAGGTTTAATGAATTTTTTGGACATTCTGTATTTTTAACATTTTTTGGATTTTATGCTTTTTTGAATTTAGTTTTTTTTGGATTGTTTAGAATTTTCCACGATTTTTCGAATTATTTGGAGTTTTTTGGAGGTTCTGAATTTTTTGGATTTCTTGGGCTTTTTGGTTTTGGGTTTTTTGTTTTCGGAATGTTTGGATCTTTTTTGAATTTTTGGACTTTTTGGATCTTCTGTATTTACTGAACTTTTTGCATTTCCGGATTTTTTTAATGTTTGGATTTTTTGATTTTCTGGCAATGGATTTTTGGGATTTTCTAGATTGTTTAGATTTAATGGATTTTTAGGACGTTGTGTATTTTTTGAATAGCTTGGACTTTCCTAAATTTCTGGATTTTTTTAATTTTCTGCATTTTTGATTTTTTTTAATTTTCTGGTTCGGAATTTTTGGATTTTATGCTTTTTTGAATTTTTTGTGTTTTTTTTTTTGGATTGTTCAGGTTTTTTGGATTTTTTAGATTTTTCGTATTATTTGCTTTTCTTTGGAGTTTCTGAATTTTTTAGAAGTCATAAATTTTGTGGATTTCGTGGATTTTTTTTTTATTTTATGGGTATAGTTTTTGGGATTCTCTGGATTGTTTACATTTACTGGATTTTTAGGACGTTGTGTATTTTTTGAATAGCTTGGATATTCCGAAATTTCTGGATTTTTTGAATTTTCTGCATTTTTGATTTTTTTTTGGATTTTCTGGTTCGGAATTTTTGGATTTTATGCTTTTTTTGAATTTTTTGTGTTTTTTTTCTGAATTGTTCAGATTTTTTGGATGTCATAAATTTTTTTGATTTCTTGGACTTTTGGGATTTTCTGGATTATTGAATATTTTGGATTTTCTGAAATTTCTTCATTTTTTAAAGTTTCTGGATTTGACTTTTTTGGATTGTTTGGATTGTCTGGTTTGAATTTTTTTTTAGATTTCTTGGACTTTTTTGTTTTTTTTTTAATGTTTGGATCTTTTTTAGATTTTTGGATTTTATGGAAATGGATTTTTTGGATTTTCTGGAAATGGATTTTTTGGGATATTCTGGATTGTTTAGATTTAATGGATTTCTTGGATTTTTCGGGTTTTTTTGAATTTTTCAGGTTTTCTGGGTTGTTTGAATTTCTTGTATTTTTTGGATTTTTTGAAATTTTTTGGATTTTCTGGATTTCTGGATGTTTGAGTATTTTGTATTTAATTTTTTTTTTGGTTTTTTGGATTGTCTGGATCTTTTTTGGATTTTTTCAATTTTTTTGTATTTCCTGGATTCTTTGATTTTTTGAGATTTTCTGGATTGTTTAGATTTAATGCATTTTTTGAAAATTTTTGGATTGTCTGGATTTCTTGGACTCTTTGGATTATCTGGATTTTCTGGATTTTTAAAAAATTGTTAGATTTTATGGATTTCTGGATTTTTGAATATTTAGATTTTAATTTGGTTTCTTGGATTGTTTGGGCCTTTTTTGGATGTTTTGGATTTTCCACATTGTTTAAATTTTTTGTATTTTCTGGATTTTCTGATCCTTTGTATTTCAGAATGTTTGTTTTTTCAACTTTTTGGATTTTCTAGATTGTTTGAACTTTATGGATTTTTTGAATTGTTTAGAATTTTTGGATTTCTCAGGTTTTTTGATTTTTGGAATTTTTTGGTTTTTATGGATTTTTTAGGATTTTCTGGATTGTTCCGATTTTTTAATGTTGTAGTTTCTTTTGGATTGTTTAGAATTTTTGGGATTTTATAGAATTTTTGGATATTTTCAATTTTTTGGATTTTTAGGATTTTCTGGATTGTTTGGGTTCTCTAGATTATTTATTTTTTTACGATTGTCTGGATTTCTTGGATTTTTTAGGATAGTCTAGATTATTTTTTATTTTTTAGATTCTCTTGGATTTTTTAGAATTTTTGGATTTTGTTTTTTTGGATATTTTCGATTTTTCGGGATTGTCGGATTTCTGGATTCTCTTAAATTTTTTGAATTTTCTGGATTTTTAGGGTTTTATAAACTTTCTGGATTTCCTGGATTTGGATTTTTTGGAATTTTCTGGAGTTTCTAGATTGTTTGGATTTTATAGAATTTTTACGATTTTCTGATTATTCGGACTTTTTTATTGTTTAGATTCTTTTGGATTCTTTAAATTTTTTGGATTTTATGGATTTTTTGGAATTTTCGGATTCCCTAGAATTTTTTTAATTTTCTGGATTTTTTGAAATTTTTTGGATTTTCTGGATTTCTGAATATTTTGTATTTTTTTTTGGCTTGTTTGGATTTTACGGATTTTTTGGATATTTTAAGATTCCCTGCATTCGGATTTTTTAGAATTTTTGGATTTTTCTGGATTTTTTGAATTTTTTTTCTTGAGTTTTTTGGGCTTCTTGCATTTCTGAGATTTTCTGGATTTTTTGGTTTTTAAATTTTTTAGATATTTTCGATTTTTTGATTTCTTGAGGTTCTTGGGTTCTTTACATTTGTTGGATTTTTTAAATTTTTTGGAAATTTTCGATTTTTTGGATTATTGGATTTGCCGAGGTTCTTGGGTTTTTTGCATTTCATGGATTTTGCCTGTTACCAAAGATCGTGATTTCAATAATAGCCCTGTCACCGTATACTAAATAATAGTTGGTTGCCAGCCAATTGCATTTTCTGTTGACGTTACTATGGCAACCACTCTTAATACTCGAGGGTATTATTTGGTCAATAATGTACCTCAAATCCACGCCATTATAGACAAGCAACAAAACGGCAAGACATAAAAATCACAAAACACCGCAATCATAAAAAGACTAAAGACTGGTCTAACCAAAACCACCAAACCTGTCAACCCCAATCCACTCACATTAATTCCTCTTCCACTAACAGCCCCCATATTGTTCGACTCCTTCAACATCGTCTGCCGCATTGACATCCCGTGCCCACCTTCAAAATTCATCCCCCCCTCCAAGAAGCTCCTCCCGAAATTGTTCCACGGCGAGTTAAACATATCCCCACCCGCCTGATTACTCTGCTTATAATCCTGCATATAGTTCACGTTACCCCCAAACGGATAACTCATCTGGAAACTATCGTTCCTCTGGTAGTTCTGGAGGTTGTTCGGCCACCACGGCGACGAATTCGGCACCGACTCCTCCATCTTCACACTATACGGATTACTATTAAACTGCACATTCTGGTACTGCGGCAGCACCCTCTGGTGGACCGTCGGATTGAACGCACTCGGCTGCATCTGCACACTCCCACCCCCGAAATTCGGCTTGTTACTCGTCGTGCTGTTAAAAAGCGACTGCGAACTGGGCGGGTACGGCACCATCGGCGGCGGCACCGGTTTGGTGTTCGGGGGCGGCACGTCGGTCTTCGGCGGAAACACGAAGTTCGTGGGCTGGTTGATGGGGGGCGGCGGCTTCGTCACGTTCCTCAAGGTGTTGAGAAAGTCGGGCTGGGTGGGCGGCGGGATGGGGAAGGCGGGGTGGTTCTGGTTGAAGCTCTGGGTGCGGAGAGGGGGGTTGAATTGGGAGGTGGAGGGGGATGAGATGGGTTTGGGGTCGAAAGTGACTAGTTTGTCCTTGTCTTTGATTTCTTCCACGTTGAACTTTACCTAGAATGGGGGGGTCACGTGATGAAAAAGACACGGTTGTGTTAGGGTCTATATTTGCGTGAAGTACACTGGGTTCAGGCGGATTTACTCACCTGCTTGTTTTCTTCGAGTTTTTTGAAAATGGACTGGAGGGCTATGTTTTGTTTTGATCGTTTCGCTTTCGAGGTCTCTTTTTTGCTGTTGTTGGAGGAGGAGCTGGAGTTGCTGAGGTCGGACATCGCGGTGGGCTCGGCCGAGGAGAGGAGTTCGCGCTCTTCGCGCGATTTTTCGAGGGAGCCTTGTGGTTTCAAAATGCCGCCTCTTTTTTCCGAACCTATGGAAAGGAAGAATACACTGGGTATTGTTTTTGAAGGGGTTTTGCAAAATTGAAATGTCGCGAAAAATAACGTAAAAAAAATGCTCGAAGGTTAGTACAATTACGAGGTACAATAAAACACAACCAGAGATGCTAAAATACCGTTTCTTATAAAATGGCTCTTGATTCTCGTTATCAAGTTTTTTTAGTTTTTCTGGATTGTTTGGATTTTCCAGATTTTTTTGAATTTTCAGGATTTTTTGGATTTACTGGACTTCGGATTTCCGGATTTTCTGGAATGTTTGGATTTTTTGAATTTTCTGGATTGTTTGGATTTTTGGATATGGATATTTTGGGGTTTTCTAGCTTACTTAATATTTGGAATTTTTGAATTTTCTGTATTTTTTTTCTGGATTTCTGTATTTTTTTATTTTTTGGATTTTCTGGATTGTTAGGAATTTTTGGATTTTATGCTTTATTAATTTTCTGGACTGTTTAGATTTTTTGGATCCTGCGAATTATTCGGACTTTTTCGGATTTTCTGATTTTTTGATTTCTTGGCCTTTTAGGGTTTTCTGGATTTTTTTGAATTTTGGGTTTTCCGGGTTTTCTAGATTGTGTGGGTTTTGTGAAGTTTTTTATATTTTTTGGATTTTCTGCATTGTTTGGTTTTTATAGACTTTTGTAATTCTTGGATTTTTTGAATTTTGTGTTTTTTTTTTATTCTTTTATTTCCGGATTTCCTAGATTTTTTGAATTTTCTGGACTTTCTCAATTTTGTTAGGTTTTTCTGGATTTCTAGATCGTTTGAATTTTTGGATTTTATTGTTTTTTGGTTTTTTCGTTTTTCTGGACTGTTTACATTTCTTGGAATTTTGGGGTTTTCCGGGTTTTTTGGATTGCCAGGATTTTTATATTTTTTTTATTGTCGTTTGCATTCTTTTAATTTTCTAGATCGTTTGGTTTTTGTACCTTTTGGATATTTAAATTTTCTTAATTTTTTAGATTTTTTTGATTTTGTGGATTTCCTGGGTTTTTAGAATTTTCTGGATTGCTTGGGTTCTTTGGATTTGATTTTTTTTATCTTCTAGATTGTTTGGAATTTATAGATTTTTTAAAATTTTCTGGATTATTCCGATTTTTTAATTTTCTAGTTTCTTTTGGATTCTTTAGAATTTTTGGATTTTATGGAATTTTTGGATATTTTCAATTTTTTGGATTTTCGGATTTTTTAAATTTTCTGGATCGTTTGATTTATATGGATTTCTAGTACTTTTTGGATTTTTGAATTTTCTCGATTTTCCGGACTTTTTGGATTTTTTTGATTTCCAGGATTTTTAGGATTTTCTGGATTGCTTGGGTTCTCTAGATTTCTGATTTTTTTGGACCTTCTAGATTGTTTGGATTTAATTGACTTTTTAGGATTTTCCAGATTATTTTTTATTTTTGAGATTCTCTTGGATTTTTTTAGATTTTTTGGGATTTTCGGATTTTCTGGATTCTCTTACATTTTTTGAATTTTCTGGATTTCCTGGATTTGGATTTTTTGGAATTTTCTGGATTTGGATTTTTTGGAATTTTCTGGATTTTCTAGATTGTTTGGATTTTATAAATTTTTTTGGACTTTCAGGATTTTTTGGATTTACTGGACTTTGGATTTCTGAATATGGATTTTTTGGGTTTTTCCGGATTATTTAATTTTTGGAGTTTCTGAATTTTTTGTATTTTTTTATTTTTTTTATTTTCTGGATTTCTTTATTTTTTGGATTTTCGGGATTGTTAGGAATTTTTGGATTTTATGCTTTATTGGATTTTCTGGACTGTTTAGATTTTTTGGACCCTGCAAATTATTCGGACTTTTTTGGATTTTCTGATATTTTTTTTTTATTTTTTGGGTTTTCCGGGTTTTCTAGATTTTCTGGATTTTTTGAAGTTTTTTATATTTTCTAGATTTTTTGGATTTTCTGGATTGTTTGGTTTTTATGCATTACAAAAGAATGCATTCTTGGATTTTTTGAATTTTCTGATTTTCCGGATGTTTTTTTATTTTTTTTTAATTTCCAGATTTCCTGGATTTTTTAAATTTTCTGGACTTTTTGCAATTTTGTTTGATTTTTCTGGATTTCTAGATTGTTTGAATTATTGGATTTTGTTTTTTGGATTTTCTCGTTTTTCTGGACTGTTTACATTTCTTGGATTCTTCGGAAAATTGGGATTTTATGGATTTTTTTTTTGGATCTTTTAGACTTTTGGGATTTACCGGGTTTTCTGGATTGTGTGGATTTTTAATTTTTTTTATATTGTCTGCATTTTTTTAATTTTCTGGATCGTTTGGTTTTTGTACCTTTTGAATCTTTGAATTTTCTTAATTTTTCCTGGATTTTTAGGATTTCCAATTTTTTTGAATTTTCGGATTTTTTAAATTTTCTGGATCGTTTGGTTTATATGGATTTCCTGTACTTTTTGGATTATCGAATTTTCTGGATTTTCCAGGATTTTCAGGGTTTTCTGGATTGCTTGGGTTCTATAGATTTCTGATTATTTTTTATTTTTTAGAATCTCTTGGATTTTTCTAGAATTTTTGGATTTTTTTTTGGATATTTTTGATTTTTTGGGATTTTCGAATTTTCTGGATTCTCTTAAATTTCTTGAATTTTCTGGATTTTTAGGTGTTTATAAATTTTCTGGATTTCCTGGATTTGGATTTTTTGGAATTTTCTGCAGTTTCTAGATTGTTTGGATTTTATAGATTTTTACGATTTTCTGATTATTCGGACTTTTTTATTTTTTAGATTCTTTTGGATTCTTTGAAATTTTTGGATTTTATGGATTTTTTGTGATTTTCGAATTCTTTGAACTTTTTTAAGTTTCTGGATTTTTTGAATTTTTTTTTGATTTTCTGAATTTTTTATTTCTTGGATTTTCTGGATTTTATGACTTTTTGGACTTTCTAGTTTTTCTGAATTGTTGGATTCTTTTTTATTTCTTGGACTTTTTGGGTTTTCTATATTTTTTGAATTCTTTTTTGGACTTTTTGGGTTTTCCGGGTTTTCTGGATTGTGTATTATTTGAAATTTTTGATATTTTCTGGATTTCTGGATCTTTAATTTTTTTGGATTTGGATTTTTTGGATTTTCTAGATCGTTTGGATTTTATGGATTTTTTGGCATTTTCTGGATTATTCGAATGTTTTGGATATTTTCAATTTTTTGGGATTTTCGGATTTTTTAATTTTCTGGATCGTTTGGTTTATATGGATTTCTTGTACTGTCTGGATTTTTGAATTTTCTGGATTTTTAGGATTTTCTGGATTGCTTAGGTTCTCTAGATTTCTGATTTTTTTTTGGACCTTCTAGATTGTTTGGATTTTATGGACTTCTTAGGATTTTCTAGATTATTTTTTAGATTCTCTTGGATTTTTTTAAGAATTTTTGGATTTTGTTTTTTTTGGATATTTTCGATTTTTTTGGGATTTTCGGATTTTCTGGATTCTCTTAAATTTTTTAAATTTTCTGGAGTTTCTAGATTGTTTGGATTTTATAGATTTTTTACGATTTTCTGATTATTCGGACTTTTTTATTTTTTAGATTCTTTTGGATTCTTTAAAATTTTCTGGATTTTTTGAATTTTTTGTATTTTCTGAATTTTTTATTTTTTGGATTTTCTGGAATGTTTGGGATTTTTGGATTTTATGCCTTTCTGGACTTTCTAGTTTTTCTGAATTGTTTACATTTGTTGGATTTTTCGGATCATTCGGGTTTGTTTTGGATTATCTGATTTTTTTTATTTCTTGCACTTTTTGGGTTTTCTAGGTTTTTTGAATTCTTTTTTGGACTTTTTGGGTTTTCTGGATTGTGTGGATTATTTAAAATTTTTGATATTTTCTGGATTTCTGGATTTTTAATTTTTTTGGAATTGGATTTTTTTAATTTTTTTGAGTTTTTGGGATTTTCTGGATTATTCGGATTTTTTGGATATTCTGAAATGTTTATGGATTTTTTGGATATTTTCGATTTTTCGGGATCTTCGAATTTTTTTGGATTTTCTTAAATTTTTTGGATTGTGAGATTTCTCGAGGTTTCTGGGTTTCATGTATTTCCTGGATTTTTTCGTTTTTTAAATTTTTTAGATATTTACGATTTTCTGGATTATCGGATTTCTTGAGGCTATTGTATTCTTTGAATTTTTTGGATTTTGCCTGTTTTTTAGTTTCTTTATTTTTTCAATTACTCGATTTTTCATTGTTCCGATTTTATGATTTTAGGTTTTTTAAATTTTTTAAATTGTTCATTTCTTCATTATTTTTTGTTTCTTCACGTCTTCACTTGAATGAAAAATTATAAACTCGAAAGAAACATAAAAAAATAAAATAAATGAAAAAGCGAAAAGTTGTGATATGAAATCTAGAAAATTAATCTTATAAAATCGGGAAAATGAAAAATCGAAAAATGAAAACTTTTAAACGAAAAATTGTTAAACTAACTGTAGTTTAGAAGATTATCTGTCTATAAAAAACGAATACAGACGCGGATACACGGCAGACAGACACACGAAAACCAGAGACCCACGTTTTCGTATTCAACGGGTCGAGAAAACATAAAAGTAGCGAGTCGCCCGATGAACTCGATTACAATACTTCCTTAGCTTACGCTCGGAAAACAATATCAAAAAGTACCTTTTTTGCTAGACGTCGGCGACACATCCGTAATATGAAACGACTTCATCTCTTCCAACAAATCGTTAGTAGGATCAGGCTGGATACACCCCGGCTCGAAACTAATCTTCTCATCGTCCACAGTCCTGAAAATCCAATTTTTCACACCTCTTAAAACCCAAAATAAGCGAAAAATACATACTTCGTCACAAGTTTAGTATTATTCACATCCAAATCACTCACAAACACCCCAAAATCCAAAAGCCGTTTCATGCGCACCATCTTTTCGGTACTTTCATCCCCTACATCATCCTCCTTAAAATTCAACTCTTTAAAATTCTTCAAAAGCGGCCGAAACCCTTGCAGCATTTTATCCTCAAACAGGGGCGTGTTCGCGTCTACAAAAACAAAACCACCCACAATCAGTGACTCCCCACAACAACCTAACCTCACATTTCGAACAATCAAAATCTTTCAAATACGGCTGCACGTTGTTCAGCAGCTTGCACAAACTCGGCCAAATCTGCAGCCTGTTGGTGAAAATCACCTCCTTGAGCACGTCGGGCTCGTTCTTGATCCAGTAGGTCAGAAGTTTCACTGAAAACAGACCAATCAGAACGTTGCTGTGGTCACGTGACCAAGGACTGCGTTTTGTCGCGCAGTGTACCTGCCGGGAGGGCGTAGTACTCCAGCAGACTCTCGTCGTTTTTCAGGGTGTGTACAGGAATGAGGAACGCGCTCAACGACCCCGCCAACAGATCTAGGATGTGTTGTCTGACGATTTTTTCGTCTTCCGTCAATTCGTCCGTGAGACTCGTCGAAGTCACGTGTTTTAAGGCATACAAGTTGATGGCAGTAATTTTGATCAGTTTTTCGCTGGTGAAACTCTGCGTCGCCACTAACGCTGTCATTGTGGCGTTCAAGCTTTTGACGCCGACTTCGGCCTGGGTTAGGTCTGTGGCGGTGTGGAGGAGGGCGTGGGTGCATAGGAAAATTTGGATGAACTCGTTGACGGTGATTTTGCTATGAATTTTCTCAAGGGGGCTGAAATTTCCATTGATTGTATTACTAACATTGTTTTTTTTTTTAATAAGTACCTTTCTTTGTCAATTGCTGAGCTTAAAGTACTCAGGAGGTTTGTAGTAGACGCTGGAAAGGGGTTTTTCACTGCAATTCCTCTGATGTAGTAGAACACAGTTGATAATTTATCCCCCTGACTGGCTTCCAACAGGGCTAGTTGGTTATACGGGTGTCCGCTAGTGGGCGACACTAAAATAGCTTGCCTGAAACCCAAAATGAGCAACCTTCACACTAAAACCGCCCCCTTACTTATAAAAATTCTCCGCTTGTTTTCTTTGGTTCCTGTATCTAGCAATATCACCTAAATGCACTAAACAGTACTGACAAATATAGACGCAAGACGACGACTGGGGCAAATTTAATTCAGTCGCGAAATTCGTTTCACCATAGGCATTTCCCCGCCGTCTGAATGGCAAATCAATATCAAAAACGTTGCACAGTTCGTGCAACAACGTCAAATAAAACCCCGACGCGGCCTCCAAGCACCACGTCAAGAGTGCCTGACACTCAGACCGACGAGCATTCTAAAAAACCCCACTCAAATTAATTCTCCCACCACAAAACCCACCTTTTTGTCTCTAGTTAACTCCTGAAGCACGGAAATGTGATTCTTGAACCCTATGTTCCACAAGTCTTGCTCCACTTTCTTGTCCAGCGCGTACTCCAGATCCAGAACTAGGGCCTGGTGGTAAATAGTCTGCAGTTTTTGCTGATCAGTCCATGCCTGCGAGTCCGATAGCAGGTCGCTTTTTTTCAAAACACGAACCTTCAAGTCCTCAGCTTGCCTGTAACGACTAATTTAGCGACGAATCGGTTTTTATTGGGGTTTTTACTTCAGGATTTGGACAGCTGCTTTGTAGCCCATTCTTGGTGAATCTTGACCAGGAAAGCGATATTAAACAATAATGAACCCCACACATAGCCTATTTAGGCGCGAATTCATCACTAAAACATTTATAAATGAGAGAATAAGTGGAAAATATGCGAAACAAACAAAATTTGAGGTTTGAGGTTAGGAGTAGGTTTACTGATGAAGCGAATTGTCAAAGTCACGTGATGATGTAATACAAACTATTGCGTAAACGAACTTTTGAATAATGGTTACAATGCGGCACGAATTCGTCGCAATTTCGTTTGACCGACGTTTTTAAACCAAACTTGCTTTTTCTAGCCCAGTCACAAAAAAACACAAAATTAAATACTACTCAAACCCAAACCAGTTCAAAGTAGTGCAAATGTACCACCCTTCAAGTCTTAACAATTAACTCTTGTTTTTCGTACTAAACCGGTGTTAATTTAAGTACTGTGTTATGTAAATTGGTCATAATGAACGTCCTGCGAAAATTCCCACCATCCAGTCAAAGTTCATGTTTCAAGGTAATTTTGAGGTTATGTCAGTTTTATTTTATAAAGAGGCGCGATTCTAGAGATTTTTGTCGTCCAAACAACCCAGCGAGGCTTTAAAACAGCACCAGGCCAAAATCATGGGTCGCGGGCTCCCCACTAAAAAACCCATCGATGGGGTTAAGCACGTCATCGTAGTTTCGTCTGGTAAAGCCGGCGTTGGAAAAAGTACAACTTCAGGTTAATCATAATCCAAGCTGTTAGTTGCAATGTGGTGTGCTCATCGCTCTTACCATTAAAGTAGGCGGTCACGTTATGACGTAATGGTGGGAGGAGCCCACTTGACCAATCGTGTACTAAAGTCAAGTTTGCAGTGAATTTAGCCGCAGGTCTCAAACTAGCTTATCCCGATTCGGACGTAGGGTTGCTCGATGTGGATGTGTTCGGGCCGTCCATACCCTTGATGATGAATCTGCACGATACGCTGCTATTAAACGAAAAAAATTTGATGGTGCCTTTGGTTAATTATGGAGTGAAATGGTGGGTCCAAACGTTGTTAATTTTTTGGGATTTTCGGATTTTTTAAATTTTCTGGATCATGTGGTTTATATGGATTTCTTGTACTTTTTGGATTTTTGAATTTTCTGGATTTTTTGATTTTTTGATTTCCAGGATTTTCAGGATTTTCTGGATTGCTTGGGTTCTCTAGATTTCTGATTATTTTTAATTTTTTAGATTCTCTTGGGTTTTTAAGAATTTTTGGATTTTGTTTTTTTTTTTTGGACATTTTCGATTTTTTTGGATTGTCGGATTTCTGGATTCTCTTAAATATTTTGAATTTTCTGGATTTTTAGGTTTTTATAAATTTTCTGGATTTCCTGAATTTGGATTTTTTGGAATTTTCTGGAGTTTCTAGATTGTTTGGATTTTATAGAATTTTTACGATTTTCTGATTATTCGGACTTTTTTATTTTTTAGATTCTTTCGGATTCTTTAAAATTTTTGGATTTCATGGATTTTTTGGGATTTTCGGATTCTCTCGAATTTTTTTAATTACCTGAATTTTTTATTTCTTGGATTTTCTGGATTGTTTGGAATTTTTGGATTTTATGACTTTTTGGACTTTCTAGTTTTTCTGAATTGTTTAGATTTGTTGGATTCTTTTTTATTTCTTGGACTTTTTGGGTTTTCTAGATTTTTTGAATTCTTTTTTGGACTTTTTGGGTTTTCCGGGTTTTCTGGATTGTGTGGATTATTTGAAATTTTTGATATTTTCTGGATTTCTGGATTTTTAATTTTTTTGGGTTTGGATTTTTGAATTTTTTGGATTTTCTAGATCGTTTGGATTTTATGGATTTTTTTGATTTCCTGGATTTTTAGGATTTTCTGGGTTCTCTAGATTTCTGATTTTTTTTGGACCTTCTAGATTGTTTGGATTTTATGGACTTTTTAGGATTTGCTAGATAATTTTTTATTTTTTAGATTCTCTTGGATTTTTTTAGAATCTTTGGATTTTGTTTTTTTGGATATTTTCGATTTTTTGGGATTTCCGGATTTTCTAGATTCTCTTAAATTTTTTGAATTTTCTGGAGTTTCTAGATTCTTTGAATTTTATAGATTTTTTACGATTTTCTGATTATTCGGACTTTTTTTTAATTTTTAGATTCTTTTGGATTCTGTACAAATTTTGGATTTTATGGATTTTTTGGGATTTTCGGATTCTCTAGAATTTCTTAATTTTCTGGATTTTTTGAATTTTTTTGATTTTCTGAATTTTTAGTTTTTTGGATTTTCTGGATTGTTTGGAATTTTTGGATTTTATGACTTTTTGGACTTTCTAGTTTTTCTAATTGTTTAAATTTGTTAGATTCTTTTTTATTTCTTGAACTTTTTGGGTTTTCCGGGTTTTCTGGATTGTGTGGATTAGTTGAACTTTTTGATATTTTCTAGATTTCGGGATTTTTAATTTTTTTGAATTTGGATTTTTTGAATTTTTTGGATTTTCTAGATCGTTTGGATGTTATGAATTTTTTGGGATTTTCTGGATTATTCGAATTTTTTGGATATTCTGGATTGTTTATGGATTTTTTGGATATTTTCGATTTTTTGGGATCTTCGGATTTTTTTTGATTTTCTTAAATTTTTTGAATTATTGAGAACATTTATAAATGAGAGAATAAGTGGAAAATATGCGAAAAAACAAAATTTGAGGTTTGAGGTTAGGAGTAGATTTACTGATGAAGCGGATTGTCAAAGTCACGTGATGATGTAATACAAACTATTGCGTAAACGAACTTTTGAATAATGGTTACAATGCGGCACGAATTCGTCGCAATTTCGTTTGACCGACGTTTTTAAACCAAACTTGCTTTTTCTAGCCCAGTCACAAAAAACGACAAAATTAAATACTACTCAAACCCAAACCAGTTCAAAGTAGTGCAAATGTACCACCCTTCAAGTCTTAACAATGAACTCTTGTTTTTCGTACTAAACCGGTGTTAATTTAAGTACTGTGTTATGTAAATTGGTCATAATGAACGTCCTGCGAAAATTCCCACCATCCAGTCAAAGTTCATGTTTCAAGGTAATTTTGAGGTTATGTCAGTTTTATTTTATAAAGAGGCGCGATTCTAGAGATTTTTGTCGTCCAAACAACCCAGCGAGGCTTTAAAACACCACCAGGCCAAAATCATGGGTCGCGGGCTCCCCACTAAAAAACCCATTGATGGGGTTAAGCACGTCGTCGTAGTTTCGTCTGGTAAAGGCGGCGTTGGAAAAAGTACAACTTCAGGTTAATCATAATCCAAGCTGTTAGTTGCAATGTGGTGTGCTCATCGCTCTCACCATTAAAGTAGGCGGGCACGTTATGACGTAATGGTGGGAGGAGCCCACTTGACCAATCACGTACTAAAGTCAAGTTTGCAGTGAATTTAGCCGCAGGTCTCAAACTAGCTTATCCCGATTCGGACGTAGGGTTGCTAGATGTGGATGTGTTCGGGCCGTCCATACCCTTGATGATGAATCTCCACGATACGCCGCTATTAAACGAGAAAAATTTGATGGTGCCTTTGGTTAATTACGGAGTGAAATGGTAGGTATTCAGGTGGGTCCAAACGTTGTTAATTTTTTTATTATAGTATGTCAATGGGGTTTTTGATTGAAGAAGGGGCTCCTGTTATTTGGAGGGGTTTGATGGTGATGCAAGCTTTAGACAAATTGTTGCGACAAGTGGATTGGGGCTCAATCGACTATTTGGTGGTTGATACGCCCCCAGGAACCGGCGATACGCACTTATCTTTAGTGCAAAATGTGCCTATTTCAGGGGTTCTTCTTATAACAACCCCCCAGCCGGCGTCGCTTCAAGTCACTAAACGTGGAGCCGTCATGTACCAAAAGTTGGCAGTACCTATTATAGGTTTGGTGGAAAATATGTCTTCAGTGACGTGTCCGTCGTGTTTAAATAGCGTCAAACTTTTTGGAGACGGTACTACCAGTTTGGCTGCTGAGGTTAACTCGAGTATCATTGAAAGCTTCCCTTTAGATCAACTAATTTCGTCTAGTACTGATGGTGGTACGCCTGTTGTGGTCAAAGACCCGGGGAACTTACAGTCGAAGTCGTACGTAAGTTTGGCGAAAAAAGTGGTCGAATTTTTAGAAAAAAATAAACGAAGTAGTTCGTAGTATTTTATTATTTTTTTTATTTTGCTTTCCCTTGTTTGGCCACTTCCTCCATAGCCTTCTTCACCGTCTCGGGATCCCCTAGAAACTTCAAACTCCCGTCACGACACGGTCTCAAACGTTCATCCAGAATATACACAAACGGAATCCCCGTGGGCAAATTCAACCCCATGATTCTCTCCTCGTCCATTCGATCCAGATGTTTAACAATCCCCCGCAGACTATTCCCATGCGCCACAATAATAACCTCCTTCCCTTCCTTAATCCTCGGCGCGATTTTTTCATTCCAAAACGGCAGCGTCCTCTCAATAGTCAGCTTCAAGCTCTCGAACATCGGAAACTGGTCTCTAGGCGGGCCGTTTGTGTACCTCGGGTCGTCAATGATCTCCTGGTAATACGGATGCTTGTCGTCCATGGCGGGCGGAGGCACGTCGTAGCTCCGCCTCCAAATCTGCACTTGCTCCTCCCCGTACTTGGTGGCCGTCTCGGTTTTGTTCAAGCCTGTCAAAGCGCCGTAGTGGCGCTCGTTGAGTCGCCACGTTTGCTCGACGGGGATGGTTTCCTGGCCCAGGATTTTGAGGATGATGGAGAGGGTTTCGTGGGCGCGGGATAGGAGTGAAGTGAAGGCGATGTCGAATTTGTGGTTGGAGTCTTTGAGGGCTTGGCCTGCCTTGGCAGCTTCTTCTTTGCCTTTGTCGCTCAAGTGGGCGTCCACCCAGCCGCAGAAGAGGTTCTTTTGGTTCCATTCGGACTCGCCGTGGCGGACCATGACGACTTTGTAGGGAGCCATTGTGGGAATGTCGCGCTGGTTGAAGTGGCAGTTTTGGACGTTTGGGTGACATGGTACGTCATGGTTGTGGGTTGCTGGGTGATAAATTGATAATGATAATAATAGAAAAATGCGTCGAAGGTTATTTCAATAGGTAAATTTCGCTTCTTTGAAAAGTTATAAAATTTGTTTGCGATTTTATGTTTCATTTTCTTTATTTTTTAATGTGAAAATTTTCAATTAAAAAAATTGACGATTTTAGATTTTTTCCATTTTTCAATTAGCTATTGGAATTTTTAAATTTTCAATTTTTAATTCTTCAATTTATTGATATTTGGTTTTTCTAATTTTCGATCTTCCAGTATTACAGTTATAATTTTTCGATTTTACAATTTTTGGGTTTTCGAATTTTTCGATTCGATTTTTTTTTTAATTTTTTTGATTCATTGATTTTTTTCGATATCTAAGTTTCTTGATTTTTAGTATTTCAATGTTTCGATTTTTCGTTTCTTTAATTTTCGATTAGCAATTTTTGAATTTTTCATTTTTCTGTCTTGAATTTTAAGATATGCATTCTTCGAGTTTTCATTTTAAAATTATTCAGTTTTCCGATTTGCCAACTTTTGGATGTCTTAGTTTCGCATTTTTACAAATTTTCGAATAGCAATTTTTTGTTTTCTACTTTTTCTTTTTTCAATGGGAAATTTTTCAATTTTTTGATTTTTCAACTTTGGATTTTTCGTTTCTTCAATTCCAGATTTTTCGGTTTTTCGATTTTCAAATTTTTTGTCTTTAATTTTTGATTTGTAATTTTTCTAGTTTTTATGTTACATATGTATCTAATAATTATTACAATTTTGAAAATCTTTCACTTTTTCAATTTTACAATTTTGGAATTTTTCCATTTTTCACTTATTATTGGATTTCATTTTTTGATTTTTAATTCTTCAATTTATTGATATGTAATTTTTCAATTTTTCGATCTTCCAATATTACAGTTGTTCGACGTTACAATTTTGGCAATTCTATAATTTTTCGATTTTGCAGTTTTTGAGTTTTTAAATTTTTCGATTCAATTCGTTTTTTCCCAATTTTTTGATTCGTTGATTTTTTCGATTTTTAGTTTTTCAGTGTTTCGATTTTATTATTTTTTAATCAATTTCGATTTTTTTTATTTCTCATTTCTTCAATTTTCGATTAGCAAATTTTGAATTTTTCATTTCTTATTTCTTGAATTCTGCGATACGCATTCTTCGAGTTTCATTTTAAAATTATTCAGTTTTCCAATTTTCCAACTTTTGGATGTTTCAGTTTTTCATTTCTACAATTTTTCGAACAGCAATTTTTGTTTCGGTTTTTTATTTTCTTTATTTTTAAAATTTTCGGTTTTTCAATGTTCTAATTTTCTAATTTTTCTTTTTTTTTTTCAATGTGAAATGTTTCAATTTTTCGATTTTTCAAATGTAGGTACACTTTTTAATTTTTCGTTTTTTCGATTACATATTTTTCAGTTTATCGATTTTTCAATTTTTCGTGTCTTCTATTTTTCGTCTGCAATTTTTCTAGTATTTATTTTACATACAATTATGTGTCTAATAATTATTACAATTTTTAAAATTTTTTACTTTTTCAATTTTACGAGATTAGAATTTTTCCATTTTTCAATTTATTGATATTTAATTTTTCTATTTTTCGGTCTTTCAATATTACAATTCGATTTTACGCTTTTTGGGTTATACAATTTGTCAATGTTTCGATATTTTTTATCAATTTCGATTTTTTAATCTTTCGATTTGCAATTTTGAATTTTTCATTTTTTTGTTCCTTCAATTTTACGATATGAATTCTTCGAATTTTCATTTTAATATTTTTCAGTTTTCCGATTTTTCAATATTTCATTTCTATAATTTTTTGGTTTTCGGTCTTCTGACTTTCTAATTTTTCGATCTTGCAATTTTTCGTTTATTCAGTTTTTGATTTACCATTTTTCTATTTTTCATTTTAAATATGTAATAATTATAATAATTATTGATTTAAAAATTTTTCACTTTTTCAATTTTAGGATTTTCGATTTTTTTTTCCAACTTTTGAATGTTTCAATTTGTCATTTCTACAACTTTTCGGATGGCCATTTTTTGTTTAAGTTTTTATTTTTTTTATTTTTTCAAATTTTCGGTTTATTATTACTTTTAATTTTCTAATTTTTCTTTTTTTCGATGTGAAATTTTTCAATTATTCGGTTTTCAATTTTTCAACTTTTTAATTTTTCGTTTTTTTCAATTTCAGATCTTTTAGTTTCTCGATTTTTCAATTTTTGATTTGCAATGTATCTAATTTTAAAATTTTTTCACTTTTTCAATTTTACGATTTTAGAATTTTTCCATTCCAATATTACTTTTTTTCGACTTTATAATTTTGGCGATTTTACAATTTTTGGGTTTTCAAATTTTTCGATTCGATTTTTCTTTTTTCCAATTTTTTTATTCAATTTATTTCCGTTTCTTCAGTTACTCGATTTACAATTTTTCGATGTTTCGATTTTTTTTTTAATTTTTTTCTTTAATTTTACATGTATTCTTCGAGTTTTCATTTTAAAATTTTTCAGTTTTCCGATTTTCCAACTTTTAAATCTTTCAATTTTGTAATTTTTCGAACTGTCAATATTTCATTTCTACAATTTTTTGATTTTTCAATCTTATGATTTTCTAATTTTTCGTTCATCCAATTTTTGTTTTGTAATCTTTCGAATTTTCAATACTTCATTTCTACAATTTTTTGATTTTTCAATTTTTCGGTTTTTCAATCTTCTGATTTTCTAATTTTTCGATTTTTTTTTATTTTTTCATTTCTTTTGTTCCTTTAATTTTACGGCATGCATTCTTCGAGTTTTCATTTAAAAATTTCTCATTTTCCGATTTTCCAACTTTTGAATCTTTCAATTTTTAGAGTTTGCAATTCGATTTTTCAGTATTTCATTTCTACAATTTTTCGATTTTTCATTTCTGCAATTTTTCGGTTTTTCAATTTTTGTTTTGTAATTTTTCGAATTTCCAATACTTCATTTCTACAATTTTTTGATTTTTCAATTTTTCATTTCTACAATTTTTCGATTTTTCATTTCTGCAATTTTTCGGTTTTTCAATTTTTGTTTTGTAATTTTTCAAATTTCCAATACTTCATTTCTACAATTTTTTGATTTTTCAATTTTTCATTTCTACAATTTTTCGGTTTTTCAATCTTCCGATTTTCTAATTTTTCGATTTTTCAATTTTTATATTAATTTTTCGTTTTTTTCATTTTAGATTTTGAAAATTTTCGTTTATTCAATTTTTGATTTACAATTTTTCTAATTTTCATTTTTAAATATGTATCTAATAATTAGTATAATTTTAAAAATGTATCACTTTTTCAATTCAAGGATTTTAGAATCTTTCCATTATTCAAATATTGGATTTTAAAACTTTTTCAATTATTCAATTTTTAGATTTTTAATTTTTCAATCTTCTGATTTTCTAATTTTCCAACTTTTGAATCTTTCAATTTTTCGAATTTTCAATACATATTTCATGTCTACAATTTTTCCATTTTTCATTTCTACAATTTTTTAATTTTTTGATCTTCCAATATTACTTCTTTTTCGACTTTACAATTTTGGCGATTCTATCGTTCTTTGATTTTACAATTTTTGGGTTTTCTAATTTTTCGATTTGATTTTTCTTTTTTCCAATTTTATGATTCAATTTATTTCCGTTTCTTCAGTTAATCGATTTACAATTTTTCGATGTTTTAAATTTTATTTTCATTTTTTTATTTAATTTTACGACATGTATTCTTCGAGTTTTCATTTTAAAATTTTTCAGTTTTCCGATTTTCCAACTTTTGAATCTTTCAATTTTTAAATTAATTTTTTAATTTTTCGTTTTTTTCATTTTAGATTTTGAAATTTTTCGTTTATTTAATTTTTGATTTACATTTTTTCTAATTTTCACTTTAAATATGTATCTAATAATTACTATACATAATTTTAAAAATGTATCACTTTTTCAATTATAGAATTTTAAAATCTTTCTATTTTTCAGTTATCCAATTCTCGACCTCCTGATTTCCTAATTTTTAGATTTTTCAACTTTTAAATTTATATTTTAATTTTTCGTTTTTTCCGCTTTAGATTTTGCAATTTTTCATTTAATTTAATTTTTCAATTTGTCGATATTTAATTTTTCGAACTTTCAGTATTACAGTTTTTTGACTTTACAATTTTGACGATTCTACAATTTTTCCATTATACAATTTTTGGGTTTTCCAATTTTTCAATTCGATTCGTTTTTTCGTTTTTTCCAATTTTTCCATTCGTTAATTTTTTTCATTTTTTGTTTTTCAATGTTTCGATTCTTCGTTTTTTCAGTTCTTCGATTTGCAATTTTAAGATTATTCAATTTTTCGACTTTTCAAATCAAAAAATGGAAAGAAACTTAAAAATCGAATAAGTGCAAAATCCAAATAATGAACATTTTCATATTTCAGATAGACCAAATTTTGTGATGACGTCATGACCTGACCTAACCTTAAAACGTTTGCAAGATTTCACAGCATTCGGTTTTGCAGTTTCAAAGTTAAACTTCAAAATGCTATTACACATTTTTAATTTTTTTTCCAAAAATCTGAATGTGTAGGGTGAAAACTCAACAGATTATCCGTCCACTAAAAATCGGGACAGACGGCAGACAGACACGCGGAAACAGGCGACCTAAAATATTTATTTGTACTCTAGGGGTCATGAAACGTCGAGAAAACACAATGGATGATGGACTCGGATTACAATACTTCCTTAGCTTACACTCGGGAAGTAAAAGACTTTTAAATTCCAGATTCATTTATTGAAAAAACCCTCCATTCTCACTTCGCCTTCCCCTGACTAGCCACCGCCTCCATGGCCTTCTTCACCGTCTCCGGGTCCCCCAGAAACTGCAAACTCCCATCCGGACACGGCTTCATGTTATCATCCAAAGTATACACAAACGGAATCCCCGTCGGTAGATTCAACCCCATAATTTTTTCCTCGCTCATCTGGTCCAAATGTTTGACAATCCCCCTCAGACTATTCCCATGCGCCGCAATAATCACCTGCTTCCCCGCCTTGACCTTGGGCACGATCCTCTCATTCCAAAACGGCAGCGTCCTCTCAATCGTCAGCTTCAGACTCTCAAACATCGGAAACTTATCCTGCGGCGGCCCGTTCTTGTACCTCGGATCGCACACAATCTGCTGATAATACGGGTGCTTTTCGTCCATCGGGGGCGGAGGCTTGTCGAAGCTCCGCCTCCAAAGCTTCACCTGCTCCTCCCCGAACTTCTTCGCCGTCTCGGTCTTGTTCAACCCGGTCAGAGCGCCGTAGTGGCGCTCGTTTAGGCGCCACGTGGTCTCAACCGGGATTCGCTGACCCAGGGTTTTGAGGATGATGCAGAGGGTTTCTTGGGCCCGGGACAGCACCGAGGTGTAGGCCTGGTCGAACTTGTATCCAGACTTTTTGAGGTACTTTCCGGCGTTGGCAGCTTCCTGTTTACCCTTGTCGCTCAAATGGGCGTCCACCCAGCCGCAGAAAAGGTTCTTCTGGTTCCATTCGGACTCGCCGTGACGGACCATCACGATTTTGTAGGGGGCTTTCGATTGGGAGCAACATCGGCGCAGTTTTAATGTGGGTGTCAGTTTTAGACAGTGGGATGACACGAGGTACGCCATAATTTTATTATTTTTTTAGAATCAAGTTGGCTGGTCATCATAATAAAAAAAGAAACACTTGGGGGCGACTGTGTGAGCATATAATGCTGCTCGAGAACGAGGTGCGATGTTCTCACGCTTAATTCTTATGGAAAAATATGTTTTATTAGTCCTTGCAACAACCCATAAACATAAATCTATCTAAAATACAATAAAATGATTTATAATAATTAGCGTTGGAAGTATATGTTGAGCATACAAAAAATTCAAATACGTACATACAATATTGTGTCCAGTACCAAATATTGTATCTTCCGGTGTCAACAGTTCCTTAAATACTTAAAACGATGGTCACAGAAAAATTAAAATTGCTAAATACACAATATGTACACTTTTTCATTAAATTAGTAAAAAAATACAGGCTCATACATTCAAAAATCCTTGTAAAAATAAGAAAATATGGGAATTTCATAGAAAAACGAATCAAATAACGTCCAGTCACAACTTATACAACACCAGTTGACTAAAAAAATGACACTTAAATTACCATCTCTTCTTGTGTTCATCCATTGATACGCCCCCGGGGCCTAAGTATACTATCATGAGGAGCCCTCCGATTACTGATAAAGTCTACGAAAAAAAAAAATCAAAATTGGGACACAACGAATTTATCTAGTACGTACCTGGAAGAAATCGTATTTCAAGAAATCACGCAACGGTTTGTACGATGGAATATTCCACCAAGCGTTATGGTAGAAGTTGAGTGTTGTAAGTAATAATACCAAAATTAGGGCTGACAATTTTGTTTTGTAACCTATTGTAACTAAAACCATCAAAGCTGATCCGAGGAGATCTAACAAAATCTGAAAAAAAAAAACCGAGTTAATATATCAAGTATGTGAAAGTTCCCTTTAAGCTAAAAACAATGGAGTTTACAGAATTTCAATATCTCTATCCGTTCTCAAGATATAAGGTCGTGGAGTTTTGATTGTGATCTGTATAGATGGGTGTGTCTATATAGGCTCCACCCCCACGATAACAAGATTGATTAAGTAACGAATTTACCTGAAAATACTCTGACCTATTTTAAACTTGTGTTAAATTTGACTTTTGACGTCCTTTAAACTTTTACATCACACAAAGTATGCTTAATAATTGAAAACTAGGTTAGTGGGTGTGGCGTACACAGCTCCGCCCCCAGAAACCTAGTTTTGAATCTGTTTGTAGCTAATATTCTTTTAAATGCAGGGTTGCTCGTCTAAGATTTACTCCTTGGTTTTTTATTTTATTTTCTAAAAAAATGTAAAAGTGGCCACTAGAAATAAAAGTATTTTTTTAACGAAAATGTTAAGAATTGAAAAATTGAAATATGTATTGAAAAATGAAAAATAGAAGTCAAAAACTGAAAAATCGAAAACTTTTAAAATGAAAACATTGAAAAATCTAAATTTGAAAAAGAGAAATTGAAACACTCCAAAATCAAAAACTGATGGATCAAAAAATTGAAAAATCGGTAAACCGAAGAATCAAAAAATCGTAGACGCGAAAAATCGGAAACTCGATAGTTGAAAATTGGAAAATCGAAAAACTGGAAAATTTAAAAACCGATGAAACGAAGAATACTTGGAAAATCCAAAAACTGAAAAATCGAAAAATTGAAACATGAAAAAGAAAAATTGTAAATCAAAAACTGAACATCAAAAACTGGATCATTGAAAAATGGAAAATTTAGAAAACAAATCAAAAAACACTAAAATCAAGAAATCGAAGAATCGAAAAGAAATAATTGAAAAATTGAAAAACTCAAAAATCTAAAAATTAAAAACAGAAATGAAAAATTCAAAAATTGTAATATTGAAAAATACAACTGAAAAGTAAAAAAATTAAAAAATCCGTAAAAAAATAACCGAAAAATTGAAAAATCGTAAACTGAAGAATCGAAAATTTGAAATATGGAATAAAAAATTGAAAAATCGAAAAACCCAAAAATCGAAAGATTAAAAACAGAAACGAGAAGTTCTAAAATTGAAATATTGAAAAATAGAATTGAAAGTCAAAAATTGAAAAATTCCAAAACTAAATACATAACTGAAAAATTGAAAAATTGTAACTGAAGAATCCAAAAATTGAAATATGGGAAAATGAAAAACTTGATAATTCAAAAACTGAAAAGTGGAAACCAAAAACTGAAAAATCGAAACTTTTGAATTGAAATATTGAAAAGAAGAAAAATTGAAGAATCAAAACCTAGCAAAATTGAAATGTCAAAAACTGAAGTCAAAAACAGAAAAATCCGAAAACTGAAAATCTTGAAATCTGATGAACCCAAAAATTAAAATTGGTAAGCCCAAGAACCAAAAAATCATAGACGCGAAAAATCGGATACTTGCAAATTCAAAAACTGAAAACAGGAAAACCAAAAAAACTGAAAAATCGAAACACAGTAAACTTGAAAAGTCAAAAACTGAAGTTTAAAATTGAAAAATCCAAAAATTGAAGAATCGAAAAATTTTAAAATAAAAATAATGAAAAATGGAAAATTTAAAAGACAAATCGAAAAACTCAAAAATCCAGAAATCGAAGAATCGAAAAGCAATAATTGAAAAATCGAAAAACCCACAAAGCAAAAAGTTAAAAACATCGAAACGAAAAATTCAAAAATTAAAATATTGAAAAATATGTAGAATTGAAAAGTCAAAAAATGAAAAATCCATTATCTAAATAATCGAAAATATGCAAACTCAAAAACTGAAAACTGGAAAACCCAAAAACTGAAAAATCGAAACTTTTGAATTTAAATATTGAAAAAAAAAGAAAAACTGAAGAATCGAAACATATGTAGTAAAATTGAAAAGTCAAAAACTGAAGCCAAAAATCGAAAACCAAATAACTGAAAAATCAAAAAACTTAAAAACTGAAATACTAAAAAATCGGTAATTGAAAAATCGAAAAACTGAAGAATCTAAAAATTTAATAATTGAAATCTTGAAAAATAGGAAAATTGAAAAGTCAAAAATTGAACAAATCCAAAAACTGATGATTCGAACAATAAAAAATTTAAAAACTGAAGGCTCGGAAAATTGAAAATCGAAGAACTGAAAATTCGGAACTTGGGAAATTCCAAAACTGAAAATTCGAAAAATCGAAAATCGAAAACTGAATATCGAAATATTTAAAATCGAAAACTTGGAAATGCAAAAACTGGAGAATCAAAAAGATTAAAGATTGAAAAATAAAAATTGAACATCGAAAACTGGAATATTGAAAAATCGAAAAATTTAAAGGACAAATCGAAACGCTCAAAAATCGGAGAATCGAAAAGGAATAATTGAAAAATTGAAATACTGAAAAATAGAATTCAAGTCCAACATTCAAAAATCGTAAACTGAAGAATCGAAAAATTGAAATACAGAAAAATGTATAATTGAAAAATCGAAAACTCGAAAATTCGAAAAATGAAAATCGGAAAGCCCAAAATCTGAAAAATCGAAACTTAGTAAAACTGAAAAGTCAAAAATTGAACTCAAAACTTTAAAAATCCAGAACTGAAAAACAGATAAATCGAAGAATTAAAAAATTGTTAAACCCGATAAGCAAAAAATCATAGACGCGAAAAATCGGAAACTTGCAAATTCAAAAACTGAAAACAGGAAAACCCAAAAACTGAAAAATCGAAGCACAGTAAACTTGAATAGTCAAAAACTGAAGTCTAAAATTGAGAAATCCAAAAATTAAAGAATCGAAAAATTTTAAAATAAAAATAATGAAAAATGGAAAATTTAAAAGACAAATCGAAAAACTCAAAAATCCAGAAATCGAAGAATCGGAAAGCAATAATTGAAAAATCAAAAAACCCACAAAACAAAAAGTTAAAAACATCGAAACAAAAAATTCAAAAATTAAAATATTGAAAAATAGAATTGAAAAGTTAAAAAATGAAAAATCCATTATCTAAATAATCGAAAAATTGAAAAATCGAAAATTTGCAAACTCAAAAACTGAAAACTGGAAAACCCAAAAACTGAAAAATGAATTCAAATATTGAAAAAAAAGAAAAACTGAAGAATCGAAACATATGTAGTAAAATTGAAAAGTCAAAAAACTTCAAAAATTGAAATACTAAAAAATCGGTAATTGAAAAATCGAAAAACTGAAGAATCTAAAAATTTAATACTTGAAATATTGAAAAATAGGAAAATTGAAAAGTCAAAAATTGAACAAATCCAAAAACTGATGATTCGAATAATAAAAAATTCAAAAACTGAATGCTCGGAAAATTGAAAATCGAAGAACTGAAAATTCGGAACTTGGAAAATTCCAAAACTGAAAAATCGAAAATCGAAAACTGAATAACTGAAAATCGAAATATTTAAAATCGAAAACTTGAAAATCCAAAAACTGGAACATTGAAAAATCGAAAAATTTAAAAGACAAATCGAAAAACCCAAAAATCGAAAAATTAAAAACAGAAACGAAAAATTCGAAAATTGAAATATTGAAAAATTGAACTTAAAAGTCAAAAATTTCAAAACCCGAAAACTAAGTAATCGAAAAATTGAAAAATCGGAAATTGTAAAATTAAAAAATCGAAAAGTTGAAAAATTTAAAAACAGAAGAAACAAAAAATATCTGGAAAATCCAAAAACTGAAAATTGGAAAAATTGAAAAATTGAAAACTGAAAAATCCAACACTTAAGAATTTGAAAAGTCTAAAAACTAGATAATTAAAGAATCGAAAAATTAAAGAATCAAAATATTCAATAACTGAAATATTAAAAAACTAGGAAAACTGAAAAGTCAAAAATTGAACAAACCAAAAACTGAAGAAATTCGAACAATTAAAACATCGAAAACTAAAAACTCGGAAAATTGAACCTGGAAAATCCCAAAACGGAAAATCGAAAAACTCAACTCGAAAATTCATAAACTGAAAAATCTAAAAACTGAAATATGGAAAGGAAAAATTGAAAATCGAAAAGTTGAAATATTGAAAAATGTAAAATGGAGCATCGAAAACTGGATCATTGAAGAATCGAAAAATGTAAAAGACAAATCGAAAAATTCAAAAATCAAGAAATGGAAAAGGAATAATTGAAAAATCGAAGAATTAAAAACAGACACGGAAAATTCAGAAATTAACATACTGAAAAATCGAAACTTCTGAATTGAAATATTGAAAAAAAAAAGAAAAATTTTAAAATGAAAATATTGAAAAATCTAAAATTGAAAAACAGACAAATCGAAAAACTCAAAAATCAAGAAATCGAAGAATCGGGAACGAATAATTGAAACATCGAAAAATTAAAAACAGACCCGGAAAATTCAAAAACTGAAATACTGAAAAATAGAATTGAAAAGTCAAAAATCGAAAAAACCGAAAACTAAATAATAGAAAAACTTTTGAAAGAAAAATTGACGAATCGAAACCTAGTAAAATTGAAAAATTGGTCTAAAGAGTTTAGACAGTACTTCCCTCGCTGTCGGAAACTTGACGACTGCATGCCTATTGTGTTTTTTTTCCCATTACGTTTTACCATCTACATAATATTCCTAATATAAGTACAACAATCGGTCCAGTACTTTCGGAGATTATCTGTCTAATAAAAATCCGGGACGGCAGACGGACAGACGGACGGACAGACGGACGGACAGACGGACGGACAGACGGACAGACGGACGGACAGACGGACAGACGGACGGACAGACGGACGGACAGACGGACGGACAGACAGACGGAAATGGGAGACCTATTTCTTCGTCTTCTAGGGGTCATGAAAGATCGAGAAAACGTAAAAGCAGAGAGTCGGCCTACGGACTCGATTACAATACTTCCTTTGCTTACGCTCGGGAAGTAAAAATATGA